TAGGAGTTAATCCTGGAGCCTCAGTAAAGTCTTCAAATGAGTGCAGCCTTAACCAACACGTAGACTTCAACTTCCAGAACCAGAACTATTCTGCTAAGCCACTCCTAAATTGCAAACCCACAGAAACTGTGAAATAATAAATGTTTATCGTTTTGAGTTGCCAAGTTTTAGGGTAACTTATTAAGCAGAAATAGGTAACTCATATGCCCACTAAAACTATAACTCTATTATGATATAAATATACATCCTTAAATTATGTTTAAAAACTAGCTACTTTATAGGAGCCTGTCCCTTCCAGTTACATCCTTCCCCTCCTTCTGGTCCCATTTTTGCTACCTCCAGAAACCAGCAATTTCCTTTTTTCTGGGTGTTAAAAGGTCCCAAATAGAATATTAAAAAGTCTCTTTTGCCCCTAATGGGCACAAGAAAGAGATTCCTTAGGGGCAGATCTTTTATCTTCTTTCTGGAGTGACAGCTGTAGGAGGAGATATTTTAGATCATCCAGGCCTCTCAAAATTCTATTCATAAATATCCACTTATTTCATTTATGTATCCATTTATTCACCCAAGGGGATTTTAGCAGCAGCAACTTGGAAAAGAAAAGCAATCAGAAACTTAAATGCCACATAAGCAGGCCCTCTGTGTGTATGTGGTAAGCCCATGAATGAAGTATTTCCAAACTCGTAACCAGAGGGAGGACTTGAGTTTTGGTGATAGGTGTAAGAGAGAATATTAGAATAAGCAGGCGCATGTTGTGGGAGGTGTGAGATGACCTACATGTTACTTTAGATATTAGTTTCACTCTATAGTCCCTTCCCTGCTCAGGGATACTTCCCAGCAGCTTTAGAATAGAGGTCTAGAGACAAAGTGTCCTTGTTTTACAGCAGATTCTTTCATAGAGAGCTCCTAGCAGAGTCTGGTACAGGGAGGGGAGAGAGGAACTGTTGCTGCCAAAGGGACTATCAGAAACTGTACATGACATTGTGCGTGGAATCTACTTCCCCTTGCCTAGAGATTTTGGAAAGCCATGAATAAATAATAGCTCTGAACAACTAATACAAGAAAGAAGAAATGTCATGTGTTATAAGTTTAATTTGTCAACAAAAATCCTAAGCAGAAAAGAACATGTATCAAAAACCCTAGGAAGATCCTCTTTAATTTTTTCCTGTTCCATAATATATCAGATTAGGAAAAGAGTTTAAGGCATTTGATCCCCTTTGCTGAAAAAGCACTCCCATTGGTGGAGCTAGCATTTTATTACATTTCCCACCTGGTGAAATGCAGACTTTGTTACAGTATACCTAATCCTCAGATTCATTAACTTTAAAATGGAGCTAATATTTATCTCATAAGATTATTGAGGATAAAATGAAATAATTTGTACTTGGGGAAACATAAAAAGTGCTTAATAAGTGATAAGTCTTAGGTTGGGGTCCTCGAATTTGACCCTGAGTCAAGGTCTTATGGGTTGAATTGTGCACCCCACAAAAGATGATAAAATCTTAACCCTCAGTACTTATGGATGTGACCTTATTTGGAAACAGGGGTTGTGCAGATGTAATCAAGTTGAGATGAGGTCATTAGCGTGATTCCCTTAATCCATTACGAGGAGAAGACAGCCATGTGAAGACATAGACACAGGGAGAATGCTATGTAAGGATGGAGGCAGAGATTGGAGTCTTGCACTCACAAGCTGAAGAATTCCTAGGACTTTTAGCTGTCACCAGAAGGTAGGAGAGAAGCATGGAAGAGATTCTCCTTCCGATCCCTAAAAAGGAACTGACTGGGCCAACACCTTTATTTCTAACTTTCAGCCTCCAGACTGCGAGAGAATAAATTTGTTACATCACGCAAATTGTGGTACTTTGTTATGGCAGCCCCAGGAAACTAATACACAAGGATTTCAGTGCAAACAGTTTATTTCAAAGAAGAGTCCAGAAACCAATGATAGAAGGGTGGGGAAGTGAGACTGGGAAAAGAAGGACAATGAGAGAGTGGGCTGATGAGTAGGTTAGCTTTGCAGGTAGAGATCATTCCTTCTGTGGATCTCTGGGAGACAATGTAGAAGATGCCTCAGAGTCATCCTACTTCTGTGGAATGAGGACACTGGCATACTGATTAGTAAAATATTGGTGTTTTAGTTTTTGATGGCTGTTGTGACAAATTGCCACAAATTTGGTGGTTGAAAACAACAGAAATTTAAGTTTTTTTTTTTTTAAGGAATCTCTACTCCCTGAAATAGGGAAGAGGCCCAAGTGAAGAAAATGCTTTGCTTTTGAACATGGTGATTTGAAGTTCTATGGTAACTATGTGGAGATGTCCTGAAGGAGGTAGCTATAAAATGGAAGCTTGGAGGGAGAGGTATGGACTGGATAAAGGATTTGGAAATCTTTCTGCAATATGTAGATGGATGAGATCACACTGGAAGAGCAAGTAGAATCAGAAGTAGAAAAGTGGGCCCAGACCAGAACCCTGAAAATCACCTACATTAAAGAGGCATGAGGAAGAAGGAATGGAGGTGGGACAAGAACCCAGGGAAGAGGCTGTTAGGAGAGCCAAGGACATTGACACTGTGATGTGAGAAAGAAGAAATGTGCAGCATCAAATGTAGTGGAGAAATCTAGTGAGGTTAAAAAGAAAAAAAAAGTAAAAAGAAACGATAGAGCTTAGTGCACACTTAAAAAAGAAAAACATTTTGGAGATTCTTAGTGACCCCAATGAGAGTGACAGTGGAATGTTACGGGCAGATCCAGATGGGTTCTTAATAGACTGCTCAGAAGAGCTCATAGGAATCTCTGAGTACAATCCCTGTGAAGCTAGTTTGGGGTAGCCCAGGGACTCTTAGCCCAAGAGTTCAGGAAAGCTCTGGAGGATCCAAGAGGACCTTGAAATCACGCTGTCAGCAGGGTTAGAACTCAAAGGTTAGAACCCAAACTGAGGGGTGCCTGGGTGGGTCAGTCAGTTGGGCATCTGCCTTTGGCTTGGGTTATGATCTCGGGGTCCTGGGATCAAACCCCGCATAGGACTCCCTGCTCAGCAGGGGAGTCTGCTTCTCCCTCTCTCTCTCTCAAATAAATAAATAAAATCTTAAAAACAAACAAGAACCCAAACTGAGTTTAGCAGTGGGTTGAGCTAATGGGAAATGACACAAAGCTGGAGACCATAGAATTGAGAAACCATTAAGATTAAATCAGTAGGAATCATGTAAACTTCTATTTTTAAGTTTGTGTTCAAATAACAGATTGTTCAAATTCAAGATGGGAGGGATTTAGCTTGGCACAATTGCTTAAAAATGATCTAGGGATTCAAGCTGATTATAAACTTAAAATGGGCCAAGCATATGATTTAATTCCTCAAGAAAATAGCACAAACTTGGGCCGTGATAATAGAAAAGAGGAAGTGGAGACACCAGAATACTAGGTTTTTTTTGTTAATAAGGACAAGTAGGAAAGGAGGAAAATGAAACAGCAATTAAAAGTAGATAGAGTCAGGGGCACCTGGGTGGCTTAGTTTGTTAGGCGTCTGCCTTCAGCTCAGGTCATGATCCCGGGGTCCTGGGATCGAGTCCCGCATCGGACAGGGAGCCCGCTTCTCCCTCTCCTTCTGCCCCCCCCAACTCGTTCTCTCTCTCTCTCTCTCTCTCAAATAAATAAAAATTTAAAAAAAGATAAGTCATTAGAAAGAAAATTATGAAAGAGACTTGAATGTGCTAATAGGTTGAGGGTATCCACCCGAGAGTGAAAACAGAAAAGGGTTAATTAGTGATACAGGAGTCTGATAAAGTTGAGAGAAAAACCGAAGCGGGGATGCCTCACCCTTGGAGAGACTGGAGGGAAGGCTGGAAGGATGGGAGTGACCAAAGATAAGATTGCTGTTTGGGAAGGGATTTTTAGGCACTTTGGAAGAGCACAGGCAGTTTGTTTGATGAAGTAATACTCCAGCGGGACAGGCTCTGCCGTTTCTGAGAGTGTGTGTGTGGACGGAGAGAGCACAACGGGGGAAACTGGTGAACTTGGGAGGGAGGGAAAGAATTCCAGACAAAATGGGATTCTTGGTCTCTGAAGTGGAACCCAGAAATTGGCAGTTTTCTTCTCAATCTATTTAACACTAACACCCACCGGGGAGCTCAGACTACACTCTCCTGGCTTAGGACTGCACGGTCAGGTCTCAGCTGAGATGTGCTCAAGAATCACAGACTTTATTTCTTTAAAAAATACACTGAAGTGCAATTCTTAAATTTATTCAGGAAAAAAAAGTCCTTGAGGGACAAACATTTTGAAAACCACGTTTTTGCAGTACATAAATCTTCCTGTTGGAATTAATGACTTTGGCGGAATTAATAAGCAGACAGAAAAATTTACACAAAGGTAATAGTTGCAAAATATTGAAATGCAGAGTCTCACCGACATACCTCTTTACCAGACAATGGTTAAAATGAAGGCAAGAAATGTTTCAAAATAAAATATCAAGCATCAAGAGAATTTTGAGCTCCGGAAGGTCAGGAAAAGTCATTCGCCATTCCACAAACACGCCCAGAGAGCCCGTCGAGGGGGCAGGCATTACACAAAATAAACCTTTCCTGCCCTCAAGCCTTGACGGAGGAAAACTAACTGCCAAAGTCAGTATCTCTGACAGAAAGATCAGATACGCTGCGTGAGGACAGGCACGACGTGCAGTAAGGCGATTGATAAAAATCAAGCCTTTTCGTTCTGAAAGGTGGAGCCCGACTTCTCCAGAACTTTAAAGGAAATTGGGCGACAGGACAGGAATCACAGACCTTGTGAAGCTCCCCCGGGGCCACCCGCCTTCGGCCAGCGCGCCGCTCTAGGACACTGCAGGCTCACACGCTCGTTCACCGGTGTGCCACCTGCCCGGCGCCGCAAGAGGGCGCGCGGCCGAGCCCGGGCGCGGAAGTCCCACCCCTATTTCCGGCGGCGGAGGATGGGGAGGAGCCAGCGGTAGCTTCCGCCTTGCGCAGTGTTGGGACTTGGGCACGTGTGTTAATTGCCGACTCGCGATTCCTGGATTAACTCTATCCCTGGTGAAAGTGTGGGGTCGGGACTCTTCATATTTAAGGATGAAGGCGGTAAGTGTCTTGAGGAGCCCGATCTCCGCGGCTTAGGGCCCCTTTGGCTGACAGTCGCTGCCTGGTGTAGTTTCTCGGCGAGTTTTTGCCCTTGTATAGGGGGCGGTGGCTTGGATTCGGGGCTCCCTCCTCACTGTGCTCTGCCAGCTTCCCGGCACTTAGATCTGGAGCTTCCTTTATCGCCCACTGTGCTCGCACTTGGCTTCAGGGGGCCGCGATGAGTCTTCTTTCTGTAGGATGTCGGACATTAAAGGGTTCTTCGAGACCATCTTTCGTACCCTTTATTTTACAAATGGGTAACAGGGTCCTGTTCTCAACGAGTTTGTAATGTGAGTCATGGGAAGCGAGATGAGTCCATTTTCTTCCCTAAAGGGTAAAGGGATAGGAAAGTAAGTGATTTGCCCTGGTTCTCACAGAAAACAAGAGCTGGGATTTGCATTTCTGAATAAGGGGTTACCATCAAGCGTTGAAATCCAAAGATCAGAATTCTGTTTTGCCCTCCTTAGTTCAGGGGTCTTTAACAAGTCATATAGTCTCTCTCAGCTTTAGCTTTTTCAGTAATAATTTGAAGGTAACAGCAATAACTGGTTAACTAGGCTGTTGGAATCAAATATGTTGGAGAACTTTGCAAACAGAGGATATATGAATGGCACTTACTTTAAAGACAACATTTTGTTCTGAGTTTGCAGTTTAAACTTCTGGGTATGCAGTACTCCTGTTGTTGTTTTCTAGAGAAGAAATAAAAAACAGATCCCCAGCTTTCGGAAGTTACTAAAAACTAGTAAAGTCAAACTTGAAAACAAGCTAAAAAATAAGCAATTTAAACAACAAAGCACTCTCAAGAAGTACCGAAAAGAACAGAGGAAACTAAGGCAAGCTGTAAAAGATGCTGTGTCTAAGAAACCGATCCCACTGGAGGACCCAAAGGAAAAACGACCAGGTAATTGTGAAAGCATTCATGTCCTGTAGTTTCTGTTGATTTATCCTAAAATGTTCATGAAATAACATTGATTTCTAGTAATCACTCTTGTTTTCAGATCTTCCCAAGAGTAAGGGTAGGAGTCCTATGTGCTTTATCACAGTCCGTGTGAGAAAACATTTCAGTACGGTATTCATTGTGAGAAAGAGCTAGCTAGTCTCTGCTATTAGTTTGTCTAGAAAGCAGATCTGAAGAGAGAATACTTGGGAAAACAAACTGAGAGTAGCTGTGTAAATAAATGTTGGGGAGCATGCCATGGCTGCCACTTTCCCATTCACTGGCAGTTAGCTAAGGTAGGAACATAGCTTTTCTCTGGGGCAACCTTCACAGTGTTGCCAAGGTTCACTTAGTTTTCTCAATGTCTGGCTTTCTTTTCATGTGGAAACTTGGAGTGAAATTGAGCTGTAACTCTCAGGGTTATTCTTTTGTAAAACTATCCAAGAACTCCTAAGTACTCAAAACAGGTAAGGAATATGATCATTTTGAGTCAGACCAGTTCCTCTATAATGTTACTGGTACTTTGAGGTATTCATATTTGATTGTACCTGACTGTGCAGTCTTCCCATGTATATATCTCATTCTCTTAAACCTGACCTATTTAGTTTGATCCCTTGGCTACATATTATTGTGATGTATAAAAGGTCATTGGACTAGAAGTCAGGAAACTTGGGTTTTTGTCTTAATTTTGTTATTAGCAAAGTGGCCTTAGTTGGTCACTTAATGTCCAGGTACTTCATCTGTTTAAAAAAAAAAAAAAAGTGTTGGTTGAGTTACACGCTTTTTAAGATCTCTTCTATCTAAATTTTAGTAGAATTTTAAAAATGTGATATGTTAATAATTATATATAAAAAGCAAAATATTCATTTTTACATGCTGAACATCTAAATGAAGTCTATCAGGCAGTTAGGTATAAGAGTATCTGGGTTAGAGAGAACAGCTTTGGGAATTATCTGCATATAGATGGTAATTGAAGCCTTAGACTTGGGTAAAATCAATGTGAAGACTGTGTAGTGGGAGAACAAGAGAGCCAAGAAAGAATTTTAAGGAACCCCAGCATTTAAGAAATGGGTGGATGAATAAAACCTGTAATAGGGTTTGAGGAGGAGCCAGAGAATTAGGAAGAAAACCAGAACTGTACAGTGTTAGAAATCAGAAGAAGGGTGTTTAAAGAAAGAAGGAAATTCTTTATGTTCCAACATGAAATAGTCTACAGGGGCACCTGGGTGGCTCAGTCATTAAGCGTCTGCCTTCGGCTCAGGTCATGATCCCAGGGTTCTGGGATTGAGCCCCGCATCGCTTTTCCCTCTCCCACTCCCCCTTGCTTATGTTCCCTCTCTCGCTGTGTCTCTCTCTGTCAAATAAATAAATAAAATATTAAAAAAAAGAAATTGTCTACAAAATAGTTAATTTTAAAAAACAAGGTGAAAAGTAGTGTGCATTGATGCTTTCACTCACTTGAAATTATAGGCTTTTGCCACATGTATGAGATGCTTGTACCATTTGAATAAAAAGGAGGAAAAAATATATTTATAAACTCAAATACACTATCACAGAAAAAAGATTTTCAGAAAATGCTTTTCCTTTGACCTAACAGTGTACTGTTAGGAATTCAGTCTATGATTATATTTGAAAAAATTTGCCAAGAATATATTTCCAAGTGTGCTCATTTCAACATTATTAATAGTAGCAAACAAAAATGCCACCGTGATCAAAAATTGAAAGTAAGATGTGCATCAACAGGAATTGTTAAATGACACAAATGTTGTTTATCTACGGTGGAATACTATACAGCCGTTGAGACTGACAGCTGTAGTCTGTCAATATGATCTATATGATCTGTGAAGCGAAGGTTGACAAATTGCCCACTGGAAAATGACTTGACCATCTTAAAATGCTGATACAAAGAACTTAATGGATTAGAGAGTTTGCAAGTATAAGGGGGAGGGGGCTTAAATGATAGAACAAGGCAAGAGAAGGCAAGAAGTTAAATCCAGAGCCCAGGAGGAGAGACACTCTTCCAATGTTATGAGAAGGAAAACAGAAGAGATGGATGCAGATGCTGTTGAATTCATTGTGGGAAATTGCAGGGGTTTCTAGCTTCTGGCTTTTCTTTTCTCAGTGATGGAGGAAGCTAGCTCCTCTGAGGATTATGAGGTGAGGTAGGTGATGGGGTTAGAAGTGTGATGATAGAGAAAAGAATTGAAAAGGCTAAGGAAGAGAGAAAGCTGATCAGGGAAATAAACCAGTTGCTGGTCACTTTTGAGAAATGGGAAGCTCATTTAAAGTAGGTAGGAGTTCCATTCTGTGCAATGTGTACATTTATATGGCAATATTTACGAGTGTTCTTGCAGTCAAGGAGAATTATAAGTTCTGTTAGGGAAGATGCTAAGATTGTCTTGTTCATGGTTGAATCCTTAGCACTTAGAGCAGTGCTTGGCACTTAGTTGACATTCATTTTTATATTAAAAAAGAGAGTGAGGGACAGAGGGAGAAGATAAGAGTGATCAGTTGGGGTTTTGTTAGATGTCTGCCTAAACTGTAGAAGGGAAAGTAGTTGAGGATATTATCAAGAGGACAGTTGAAATGATTACCATGCTGGAGAAGCCCAGGAGTGAAGATAGAACACAATGGAAGAAAGAAGTAGAGTGGTTAGAGGATTGAAGGTCTATATATTTGGTCACAGAAGTGCAGTGGAAGTAACTGAATGAGAGCTGCAAGGACAAATGGTTGTGGTCAGGGGATGGGGTGAGCACCAAGGCTTGGGATGTGGCCCGTGGAGGGGGTGGCCGAAGTGGAATGGAAGTGAGTCCGTGGGGATCAGAAGGAGCGAAGTGGCTAAATCATCGGTTCTCACATGCTCTGAGAGACATTGCAGACTATGTGGAGGCATTTTATTTTTTGATTGTGACAGTGACCTGGGAAGGCTCCTGGCATTTAGATTTCAGGTGTTGGAGATGGCAGCATTTTGCTTAGCTCAAGACCCCCAGTGGAATAAAGAGCTGTCCGGCCTAACATGTTGTTAGTGCTCCCATTTAGAAACACTGGGCTGACATACGAGAAAAGCATAAACTTTTCCTCTTGTTGACACAAAAACGCGGAGTTCTATACTCTCATGCTTGTTTCTGATTTTGTTGTTGGAACAGGTAAAAGGATTGAGCGGGAAGAGGAGGAAGAAGAGGAAGCCCTTCCTTTGGATATGATGGATGAAGATGACTTGCAGTTAATGAGAGACTTAGGACAAAGAGCGTCTTTTCTAACGAGAGATCTTTCTTCTAGGTAATACTTCATTTAGATTATAAACATTCACATCCTTTCAGTGTTAAAAACTTGATTCAGAATTTTAGTTAGGTGGTTAGTGCAAGATGTTCAGCTCGGAACGTAAGAGAGTAAACCCTGTGACTCAGTTTATTTCCTAAATAAAGGAAGTTCATGAATAAAACAAACTGATTTTATTTAGTGTACATCTTTATTTTTTTTTTGAGTCTGAATAGTGAAGTAGAGTGCACTGGGGAAGAATGTAGTTCTCTGGCGAACTGGCAGAACAGTCCTGAGTTCTTAATGGCCACGATCTCTGTTCTTGTTACCCTGTTGGGGAGGTATTATTCCCATTTACAGAGGAAACTGATGCTTCCTGCAATCACAACTAGTGGATCTGAACTTTAAACCTAGATCTTTTTAACTCCTAAGCCCGTGCAATGGTCTCGAGGATTTGGGGGAAGTAAAATAGCATGATGTCACCCTTGGCTTTGTGGAATAGTTTTCAAAAAGAATCTGCCATAACTTTCACTTCTGTTTTGCATCTGAAGGGAAAGACTACATGCAGCCGTAGTCTTCGGGGCAGAATATACGATTCTTTTATTCGTTTACTATTTGAGTGCCTGCTATGTGCCCGGTCTAGGTGCTAATATCTATGTACCTGTTTTTTTATTTTTTATTTTTATTTTTATTTTTTTCAATATACCTATTGGAAGTTTGGCCAGTAGTTTACTTTTCTGTACTTTTTAAGTGATCTCTAGATTCCTTTTTAAATATATTAAAACTGGAATTTTTTTTTTCTGCAGTGAACCTGTTCACGCCAAGAAACGAAAGCATGAGCGTGTTATAGATAAATATGAAAAAATACCAAGAACTCTGCAAACTACACCAGAGAAGGAACTGATTCACTTACTTCCTATCAAGGATAAAAGTGGTATAATCCCACGGACCAGGGAGAAGCCAGGTGAATCTAATCAATCATCCAGTGTATTAGTAAAAATTTTAGCTCCTTACTAATACCATCACGTTTTTATTTCCACTCAAGATTTACTTTTCTTCTTTTTTTTTTTTTTAAAGATTTTATTTATTTATTTGACAGAGAGAGACACAGTGAGAGAGGGAACACAAGCAGGGGGAGTCGGGGAGGGAGAAGCAGGCTTCCCGCGGAGCAGGGAGCCTGATGCGGGGCTTGATCCCAGGACCCTGGGACCATGACCTGAGCCGAAGGCAGACACTCAACGACTGAGCCACCCAGGCGCCCAAGATTTAATTTTATTCTTACTTTTACCTACAAAATAGGGGGTAGCTGCAATTAGTCATATTAGCAAGCTTGATGATTTTGGCCAGAAATACAGATGATTATCTCTGATGTCTGTTGTATCATGAGATAGCTGAAGCTACAATCTTGAGGTGCTTTTCTTTTCAGTTTTTTTCACCAAATACTCTTGTTTCTAAAATTAGAATATTAGTTATCCTTTATTAGCCTTTTTTTCTTACATGTATCTTTTTTCTTGTGAAATAAAACACACAGAAAAGTCTAGAAATCAGAGTTGCCTTGTGAAGTTATGTGGTTTATCACAAAAAACACACCATAAAATTCCTATCTGGGCAAGAAGTAAATGCTGCCGGCACACCAGCATCCTTTGTGCTCCCCTCAATTATTAGTTGCTTCCTCCTCACAAAAGTAACTACTTTGCCGAGTTTTATGGTAATCACTTTCCTGCTTTTCTTTGTAGTTTGATCACTTAAAGTATATTGTCAGATTTTTTAATATACATGTTTTCCATACAGTTACAGACAGTAACCAAGATGAAGAGGATCAAGAAGAGCTGGAACTTGAGGAAGGTAATGGAATGTACTTTTGTAGTTACTAAATTGTTAATTGAGAATTACATTTTTTTTTTTTTTGCATACTAGTAAATGTGACTTAATTTTAGATAAAGTCTGAAATGTGCATTTTAGAGTACTGGTCATTTCAAGGTCATTTTGAATGTTTTCCCACATGTTGAAAGTCTCATCTTGTGGAATTTGATTCTTTGTTGCTCTTCATTATGGAGAATTTTATGCAGTTATGTTTGTGATGTCTAGGCCTGCATGAAGAGTCTTATAAATTATTACCATTTTGAATTCTTTTTAATTTTAAGTGAAGGACCTGCCTACAAATACTAACTTTTTAGCTTTAAATTACAAAATGATTTTGTGATATGAAATCATTTCACTTCTTGGAGCAGTTATATATATATATATATTTTAAGATATTTATTTATTTATTTATTTGACAGAGAGAGAGAGAGACACAGCGAGAGAGAGACACAGCGAGAGAGGGAACACAAGCAGGGGGAGTGGGAGAGGGAGAAGCAGGCTTTCCGCTGAGCAGGGAGCCCGACGCGGGGCTCGATCCCAGGACCCTGGGATCATGACCTGAGCCGAAGGCAGACGCTTAACGACTGAGCCACCCAGGCACCCCCGCCTTAGAGCTGTTATAGTTATATATGTGTGTATATATGTCTGTTTTAGATAATTGAATGTGGTTTTCTAATAGCTAAGATAGTTCCAATCAAAGTTAAACTGAAAGAACATATTTTTATGGTTTGAAATTATATTTGTTTGGAATTTTCAATAGAACAAACTGGTTAAATTTTACTTTAGCTTGGCAAACCTCATTAATAGTGTAAATGAGATTACAGGTCAGCTAATTGTTTTCATTCATCCTTCATAGGCTCATTAGAGATTATGCTTGTGTGTTTATTAAATCTAGTTTCCTATCAATTTCTTTTCTTAAGATGGACATATTTTCTGCAGTGCGAAGGACTGTATAGAGTTGGAAAAAAGGGAGAATATTCTGTACTTTTTTAAACTAAATCAGGTTGCGTTTTCCCTTAATTCATGGGAATTATTATAAGTTTATTAGCATAGTAGTTAAGAATATGAGCTCTCAAGTCAGATTACCTGGGTTTTGAATTCCATTTCTACCAGGTTTATGAGTATAAGCAAGTTACTCTCCCTTTGCCTCATGTTCTGTGTACAAAATGGATATGATGATTGTACCTCCCTCATAGCAGTTTTGAGAGGATCATATGTAGTAATCTTGGCCCATGGCAAGTGTTCAATGAAACTTAGTTATTATTATTATTAATTACTATAGGAATATTATTGTATTGATTAAGGTTCTTGGATACTTGTAAATAAAGAAACGTTTAAGAGGGGAAATCTAATCTGTTTCAGAGATCGTTGAAGATCCCATTCGAGAGCTGACATTAGAAGAACATTTGATTGAGAGAAGGAAGAAATTACAGGAGAAGAAAATGCATATTGCAGCCTTGGCATCTGCCATATTATCAGACCCAGAAAGTAACGTAAGTGGTACTAATTTCTTTGAGCTCTTCATATTAGATATGGTGTGAATGTCTAATATTTTAAGATTCCCTTATTACCTATAAGCACATACAAAAAGGAAAAGCATTAAAATAGTGACTGAGGTAGAATAAGAGTAGACAGAACCTTAGCCTAATCCTATATCTGCACTTAATGTGTTTTGTAACCTTAGAAAAGTCACTTAATCTCTCTGAGTCTTATTTTCCTCATCTCTAAATGAAGGTATTGAGGGGCGCCTGGGTGGCTCAGTCGTTTTAAGTGTGTGACTCTTGATTTTAGCTCAGGTCATGACTCAGGATCATGGATTTAGTTCTGCACTGGGCGTGGAGCCTGCTTAAGATTCTGTCTCTCCCTCTGCCATATATTTCTTTAACAGATTAAAAAATTGAAAGAACTGCGTTCCATGCTGATGGAACAGGATCCTGATGTGGCTGTTACTGTTCGAAAGCTGGTGATAATTTCCCTGCTGGAGTTATTTAAAGACATTACTCCTTCATACAAAATACGACCCCTCACAGAAGCAGAAAAATCTACCAAGGTAATGATAGATACAATTACTATACAAAATAAGCTGAACATTTTGGAGAGCTAGAGATGGGAGAAATAGTAGGGTTTTTTTTGTTTGTTTTTATAGAACTGGGTATAAGGCACTCACATTTTGTGCTAATTTAAGGATTCTCGTATTTTGATTTTAAAAAATGAGTGGTCTTTTGGATTTTTTCAGATCCGCAAAGAAACCCAGAAGTTAAGAGAATTTGAAGAAGGCCTGGTTAGCCAATATAAATTTTATTTGGAAAATCTGGAGCAAGTGGTTAAAGGTATATTGAACATTTTTAAAATACATAACATACTTAGCTTTGTTCAGGAAGGTGAATTGTGTATTCTCTGCTCTGTGGTGAGAGTCAGTATAGCGGGTCATCAAGAACAGAGTCTACGGTCCGACTTCCTGGGTTCAAATCTGGGCTCTCTACTTACTACCCATGTGGTGGGCAAATCACTTAATCTCTCTGTTTCCATTTTTCTGTTTTTAAATAATAATACTTATTTCATAGGATTGTTGTGAGAAGTAAATTAATTTATAGATAAAAGCTGCTTACAACTGTGGCTGGCCTGTACAGGCCCTGTATTGATCAGCTGTTAGTATTATTGTTGCTCCAGGCCTTTCCCTAGTAAGTATGTTTCTTGAATTCGTGAATGGTTGAAATTTATGCTGCTGGTTTTTATTTGGAGATGGTAGCGGAGAAGGATGACTTGAAATGGATGAAATTAGTGCCTTGAAAATGGACTTAGAGAGAAGTCAATCATACTGGATGATAAACTCTTCCATCAAACCTTTATTCTCTTTTTCTTTGTTCAGAAAAGGAGGGGCAGGGGCTCTTGGGTGGCTCAGTCGTTTAGCGTCTGCCTTCAGCTCAGGTCCTGATCCCAGGGTCCTGGGATGGAGCCCCCATCGGGCTACCTGCTCAGCAGGAAGCCTGCTTCTCCCTTTCCCACTCCCCCTGCTTGTGTTCCCTCTCTCGCTGTGTGTCTCTCTCAAATAAATAAATAAAATCTTAAAAAAAAAAAAAAGAAGGGCATATGAAAATTGGAGCATGAATGGAGAAGACATTCAGTTGCCTAGGTCAGGTGCTTTCACTTTACTCAGTTGGGCTCCTTTACTCAGTAAAGGGCCTAAGGATCACCGAGTTTCTGTCTCAGTTGGAACAGGATTACCGAATCGTGTTGGCCCAGTAAGGGCAGGAAGGACATGGTGTGGGGGTGGGTGCCGTGGGTGTTGCTTCTATACTCTGGCCTCCCAACTGGAGCCTACTTAGGCGCATACATTCCAAGGCCTGGGAGCTTTGTGTAGACCAGCACCGTCCAAGAGAAATAGAACATGAGACACATACGTCATTTGAAAAATATGTACCCACACTAAGAAAAAAAGTAAAAAGTAATGAAATTATTATGTATATGATTACTACTTCAACATGTGATTGATTTTAAAAAGTAGGTATCTTACATTCCTTTTTTTGTATTAAGCTCAAAATCTGACGCGTATCTCACACTTAGGGCACATCTGCATTTGGCCTAGCCACAGTTCAAGTACTCAGTTGTCACATGTGGCTGGTGGCTTCTGTATCGCACCATGCAGGCGTAGGCCTTTTCTCAGCTGATGGAACCATTATGAAGTCTTTTTTTTTTTTAAGTTTTAAAAAATTTATGGTAAAATATAACATAAAGTCTATCATTTTAGCAGTTTTGCAGGCGTGCAGTTGTGCGGCATTCAGTAAACACACGGGTGTGGCGCAGCCATCACCACTGTGTGCCCGCAACTCTGCGTCTTCCCCAGCTGCAGTTCGTAACCAGCCCGGGGCAGCCACCGTTCTGCTTTCTGATTTGAAGTGAATATGGATCTGGCTGCTCCCGGAACCTCGTCTTCTATGTAGACTTACACAATATTTGTCCTTTTGTGACTGCCTTATTTCACCTAGCGTAATGTCTTCAAGATTCTCACAGCATGTGTCAAAATTTCCTTCCTTTTTAAGGCTGAATAACATTCCATTGTATATACATACCACGTTTTGTTTATTCATCCATCCACTAGGAAGTCTCGTCAGCTTCAGGTAAATAGAAGATATGGTTCTTATGATGAATACAGCCTGTTTGAGGAAAGCTCATATACATGAGAAGCAAGTTTAAAACACAGGCACTATCATCTATACTGTTTCTCATCTCTGGTTGTGTATGATGTAGAGGGAACTGTCGAACCTACTCTAGAAAAACCATATTTTCATATTCAGGATGCTATGTTATGGTAGCAGAGTATGTATGTAGACATTTCTAGAAAAGAAGTACTGCGGGACGCCTGGATGGCTCAGTCGATTAAGTGTCTGCCTTTGGCTCAGGTTGGGAGTGAGCCCCATGTCAGGCTCTCTGCGCAGCGGGGAGCCTGCTTCTCCCTCTGCCTGCTACTCCCCCTGCTTGTGCTCTCTCTCTTGCTCCCTGTCAAATAAATAAAATCTTTAAGGAAAAGAAAAGAGGTACTGTGAATCATCGGGTATTTTGAAGAAAAACTTAAACTTTCTGGACCTCCTGGGTAAAGATACCACAGTGAGCATTAGCAAGAAGTCAGGAGAAATAATGTTCTAGATTCTCCAGAATTTTTGGAACGTGGAAGAGATCAGGGCTCAGAATCTGGAGCTTGCTCATATTCACTAGCCAGTTAGTGGATGACTAGGATTTGAACCCAGGCTTTTTGAAATCTAGTGTTTTGGGGAAAGCCTGGTAGAGCCCAGGGATTCCTTAAGGTATCCAGCTCTCTGTCTCCCCCTGCCCTGATTTATCCCTGGGACCCTTATCCTCTAATGATACATCTTTAGAAACGTATGGAAAGCCAAAATTCTTAACATTATGGTTAGAGTCAGAGGGTGGATGATGGCAGATAAATTTTAATGATAACGTTTGTACTTGTGTCTAAAGGTGGACACAACTCATTTAAGAATTTGCACAGTGTATTGCATATTATTGTAAAAGAAAGCTAATTAGTTGAAGCTTTGATCAATGAGTAAAATAACTACAGTTATCTTTTGATTAGACTGGAAGCAAAGGAAACTGAAGAAAAGTAATGTAGTTTCCTTAAAGGCCTACAAAGGACTGGCGGAAGTGGCTGTGAGGAGCCTGTGTGAGCTGTTGGTGGCACTACCTCATTTCAACTTTCACAACAACATCATTGTGTTGATCGTCCCTCTCATGAATGACGTGTCAAAATCGGTGGGTTGCTAAGTGATTGTTGCTGTCCTCCTGAATGCAAAGTTCTAGACCTTGTGATTATTTTTTTTCTCTCTCAGAATTCTTTTGGAGCTAAAATAGCATCACTTTGTTAAACACTGCCTCTTTAAGAAAATTCTTTGAACATAAGTTTAGTGGTGGTTCTGAGCAGGAGGTGGTTTCGCCCTCCAGGGAACATGAGACTGTGTCTGCACCCAGTTTCGATTGTCACCCCTGCAGTGGCTACTACTGGCATTTGTGGGTAAAGGCTAGGGGACTTCTAAACTTCCTACCATGCACAGGACAGTGCCCCCACGGCGAAGAATTGTCTGGCTTAAAATGCCAGTGGTGCTGAGGTTGAGAAACACCGGCTGAGTGTAACATTTTATTTTTCAGATATCTGAAATGTGTTGTGAGGCAGTGAAGAAACTGTTTAAACAAGATAAATTAGGCCAAGCTTCCCTTGGTGTGATTAAAGTGATTTCTGGTTTTGTGAAGGGCAGAAATTACGAAGTTAGGCCAGAGGTAAGCCTTTTCTCACTTTGCATTTTATTTGTTTTTTACAAAGTTAATTTTCAGTTGTTAGGAGGAATTTTATTCTTTGTAGAAGTGTATAGCGTAGAAGACTCCCCAAGTGTAACTACTATTAACAATTTAGTATGAATTCTAGAGGTCTATATAGACATACGTACTTGTTTATATATATACACACATATATATATATTTTAAAGATTTTATTTATTTATTTATTTGACAGAGAGATAGCGAGAGAGGGAACACAAGCAGGGGGAGTGGGAGAGGGAGAAGCAGGCTTCTTGGGATCATGACCTGAGCAGGCAGACGCTTAATGACTGAGCCACCCAGGCGCCCCTTGTTTATATATTTTTTAATTATTTGTTTATTTAATACATGTGTAGATTTTAAAATAAAAATGCATTTATTCTATGGAAGCTCTTCTGGAGCTGTTTCCATTTTGTGTTGTATAGGGCTGTCTCATTCTTTTTAATGTCTGTTTCCTATTATGGGAATGTAGCCCCCTACTTGATGGACAGCTGAGTTGTTTCTACAGCGATCATGAAAGAGAACATTTTGGCCATATTATTTTTTCATACTTACAGGAGTATTCTGTGAGTTAAATTTTTAAAGTTTAGATGCTGGATCCAACAGTATACACATTTATAAATTTGAGAGGTAATGCCACATTGTCCTGCAAATACATTTTGTTATGTTCTCGCAGTGACAGATGTGTCTTTTCCCCACAGCCTACCCGATGCTGAATGTTTCTACCATTTAATCTTTGTTAATCTGGTGGGCAAATCATTCTGTGCATCTCATACATATATTTTTGTTTTCACATATTTATTAGTCATTTTAATTTTTTTGCCCATTTGCATTGTTGCTAATTTTTCTCCTCAGGTATTTTAATGACTTGTAATACTTTTCTGATACTCATTTATTTCAGTAAATATCAGCTGTGTACTAGACACTCTTCTAGGTCCTGGGTATAAAGTAGTGAATAAAAGAAGCAAAAGCTCTGGTGTTTGTTGAGGTTATATTACATATAAAGGATAGTAAGTTGCAAATAAATGTTTGTTGCTCTGCCATTTGATTTTGTATTGTTGTCTTTTTTGTCTTAAAGAAGTTTTACATTTTAATTGACTGTCATTTTTTCGCTCTTTATAGATGAGATTGTATTTTTGTCACGCATGGAAGAACCTCTTCAATCCCAAGTATAGATTCTCTCCTTCTAGAAGAGTGTTAATTTTTATATTTAAATAATCCATCTGACATCTTTTTGTGTGTGTGGTATAGTTGCAGATCTAGTACGTATATATACTTTCTGAAATGGATAGCCAGTTATTCCAATACTGTTTTCCCTTTGCTGCTGATTTAAAATGCTGCCTTTATTTTATTTTAAATCCCTACCCAGAATTTTATTTCTGAACTCTTTGTTGGGTTTTTCTTTTTTTGTATATATTTAGGTTGTACAGTGTGATTTTTTTTTTTAAGGTATACAACATGATTTAATCAATATGTGAAATGATTACCACAGTCAAATTAATTTTTTTTTTAAAGATTTTATTTATTTGCGAGAGTGAGCAAACAAGCAGGGGGAATGGCAGAGGGAGAGGGAGAAGCAGGCTTCCCCGCTGAGCAGGGAGCCCGATGTGGGACTCAATCCCAGGACCCTGGGATCATGATCTGAGCCAGAGGCAGTAGCTTAACCAACTGAGCCACCCAGGTGCCACAGTCAAATTAATTAACACATCTATCACCTCTCACCTTTTTTTGTGGTGAGAATCCTAAAAACTTACTCTCACCTTATTTCAAATTACACAATACAGTATTATTAACTCTATTTACTATGCTATAAATTCGATCCCCAGAGCTTCTTTGTCTTATAATTGAAAGTCTATGTCCTTTGACTGACATTTCTTCATGTCCCCCATCCCGCCGGCAACCACTGTTTTAGTTTGCATTTGACTTTTTTAGATTCCCCATGTAAGTGAGATTGTACAATATTTGTTTTTCTGTGTCTGGCCTATTCCACTTAGCATGATGTCCTCTGAGTTCATCTCTGTGGTCGTAAATGGCAGGATCCTTCTTTTTAGTGGCTGAGTAGTATTCCATTATATGTATATAGCGCAGGTTCTATATTCGTTAGTGGATACATAGGCTGTTTCCATATCTTTGCTTCGTATTGTGAATAATGCTGCAGTGAAGGGAGCCTGGGTGGCTCAGTCGTTAAGCGTCTGCCTTCGGCTCAGGTCATGATCCCAGGGTCCTGGGATCGAGCTCCGCATCAGGCTCCCTGCTCTGCAGGAAGCCTGCTTCTCCCTCTCCCACTCCCCCTGCTTGTGTTCCCTCTCTAGCTGTGTCTCTGTCAAATAAATAAAATCTTTAAAAAAAAAAAATAATGCTGCAGTGAACATGGGAATGCAGATATCTCTGAGGTACTGACTTCATTTCTTTTGGATCTATACCCAGAAGTGGGATTACTAGATCATATGATAATTCTTTTAATTTTTTGAAGAGTTTCCGTGCTGTTTTCCACAGCTGTACCAGTTTGCATTCCTCCCAGCAGTATACAAGGGTTTCCTTTTCTTCATGCCCTAATACTTGTTTTCTCTTATCTTTTTTTAAAAGTTTATTTAAGTAATCTCTACACCCAACGTGGGGCTCGAACTCGACCCCAAGATCAAGAGTCACATGCTCCTCTGAATGAGTCATTGAGGCGCCCCTATTATCTTTTTGGTAATAGCCATTCTAACAGGTGTGAGGCGATTTATCATTGTGGTTTTGGTTTGCATTTTCCTGATGATTAGTGGTGTTGAACCAACCTTTTTGTATATCTACTGGCCATTTGTTGTATGTCTTCTTTGGAAAAATGTCTATTCAGGTCTTTTGCCCGTTCTTTAAATCGGGTTATTTGCTTTTTGCTATTGAGTTGTAGGAGTTGCTCATATATTTTGGATATTAACTCTTTGTTAGATACGTGGCTTGCACATACGTTCTCCTATTCAGTAGGTTGTCTTTTCGTTTCATTGATGGTTTTCTTTGCTGTGCAAGCTGTTTAGTTTAATGTAGTCCCACTTGTTTAGTTTTGCTTCTTGTTGCCTGTACTTTTTGATGCCTATCCAAAAAAATCACTAGCTAAGGCCAGTGCTGAGGAGCTTTTCCCCCTCTGTTTTCTTCTAGGAGTTTTATGGTTTCGGTTGTTACATTTAAATCTTTAATCCATTTCACATTAATTTTTTGAGTGGTGTAAGACAGTGGTCCAGTTTCATTCTTTTGCATGTGGATATCCAGTTTTCTTAACGTTATTGAAGAGACCGTCCTTTCCCCATTGTGTATTACTGGTGCCCTTGCCAAAGATTAGTTGACCATCTTTAATCTGGAGTTATGTTTTTTATTTGTGGGTGATATTTTATGAGCACATAGAATACTTATAGAATACTCATATTGATCTTTCCGGTATGTAGAATGACTTCATGTTCGCCGTTTCTAATTTTAATTCTTTCTTGTTTCCATTCTGTGCTTTAAGCCCTGTAAACTGAAATATTCCGCTTTCTTCCATTGTACATATTAGAACATCAAAATAATACAAACTGTAGTTCTCACATGTTTTTTCCAGGAATGCTGCTATGATTGAAGGAGGTCAGTAGAGTGGTTTCTTCCAGACAAAGTTTGAATTTTGAACCCCTTTTGTCTTTGTATGGTTGCTGTAGTACACAAAACACCAATTTCCAAATTAGTTTCTGGATTTTTTGAATGGCTTAAGGCAGTAGTTCCATTGTGGTCCCTGGACCAGCATTAGCTAGGAATTAGAAATAGAAATTGTGGGGCTCTAATCCAGACCTAGTGAATTAGAAACTGAGGATGGGGTCCAGCTATTTGTGTTTTAACAAGCCCTCCTGATGATTCTCATGTTTGCTGAAGCTGGAGATCCATTGGTTTAAAGGAAAATAACTTGTCTTAAAATTAGTAACACTAAATTTAACTTTACCTGGGGTTTTTTTTTTTGTTTGTTTGTTTTTGTGTTTTGTTTTTAATTGGGGGGAAAAAAATGAAGATTAGAACTACTGACTGCAAAATGGAAGCTGGTTTGGTAGATTGAAGCTGGTTTAGAAATATCTGATTTACATCCTCTCCTCCCATACTGGTCCTGTCCTTTTCCTGCCTGTCCACGTATGCAGTCCTACCGGTGCCAGGTGATGTGTCCTCGCTGCCTTCTACACATTGTACTGCAAAACAATGTTATGTTTATTTAGCCAAGTACTAGTGTCCTATTAGAGAGACAGATTACTGAATATGTTTAGCAATAAGATAATAGAACTTTGTGTGCAATGTGACAAAAGATGTGTCAGAGGTGTTTTTTGTTTGTTTGTTTTTTTTTTTTGGGCACAAAGGAAGGAAAAACATTGTTAAATGCTAACCGCTCTCTATAAAGGTTTTGATGGCCCTATAAATATTAAGCTGTATATTGTGTTTTCTTCATCTTAGATGTTAAAGACATTCTTGTGCTTAAGAATCAAAGAAGTGGAAGTGAAAAAAGATACAGAGGACATTAATAAACCAAAAAAGTTCATGACTTTCAAGGAAAAGAGAAAAACTCTATCAAGAATGCAGAGAAAGGTTTGGTTGATTTCCTTTTTTGTTTAATTTGAGATTAAAACCATGGTGTAGGCACAGGCAGAAATCATAGTTGAATCATAAATATAAATGTGTCAAAACCTAATATTTAGAAGATTTTATTTTTTCCAGTTATTGCAAAGAAGTGCTTTATTAATTAAACTGGCAATTCATTGGCAAAAAGAGCAGTTGATGAAAAAATTTCCTTGTCGTGCTAGGTTTTAATTTTTTTGCTCTTCAGATTCATTGTGATACACAGATCCCTTCCTTAACCAGGAAGGTGATATTCATGTAAATTTGGCAACAAAGTGGGTTTTTGTTAATTGAAACACGTTTCTTTATTGGCTTGCATTTGAAACCTAGGTTGAAATTCCAGCCCCTTGTTTATTTAGTAGGAAACTTTGGTAACCTTTTTTTTTTTTTAATTTTGAGAAATGGAGCTAGTAATAGCACCTACCTTCGTGGGTCACTGTGCACCTTAGTAAGATGATGCAGGTAAAGCATTTAGTAAGTGTGTGACACTGGGTGTGCTTTATAAACATGAATTACCACTACCAGCATCGTTATTATTATTACTTCTCAAAACATTTCTAAATAGTTTATTAGGGTTATCAAATTGCTTATCAAAACAAAACAAAAAATAGTTTTCAGGGATATCCATCTTTGAATGGCCCTAATAAATTTTGAAAATGGGACGGAAGTACCAAAGTAGACTTAATAATTGGAAACAAATGAAGGTAAATATTTTAATCTTTTATATCATACTATCCTAATATAAATTGGATATCCCTGTTAGAAACAGCATGTACGTATCTGTGGTGGGGAAACAGACCCACTAAGAACATGGCAGCTCCTTAAATGGCGCATGAAGGAAGGAAACTGTCCCTCAGTTGGTCCCCTGTGTCTTAGGCAGCTTAACAGCCATTATTTGCTGCTCATACTGCGTAAGAAAGTGGAAAAACTTATATTTTGTTGAATTTCTTTATAGTGTCTGGTTTTATGCATTGTATGTAAATGTGTTTAGGAAGTATCACTGATGACTAATTTCCGTGTTATAGATGATTTAACAGTAGGAATTATTTCTGGGCTCAGTGTGTTCTTCCCTTTTTTCTCTTTTGAAAAAACGTAAATTATAGAAAACTACAGAGAATAATACAGCATATCCCATGTATCTACCATTCACAGTGAGCAAATATTAATAGACTTCAGTTTCATTCTTGAGAAGAAACCATCAGTGACAGAGTGCGAGTCCCCTTTGTTCCTCTCCCCAGTCTTGTTCTGCCTTCCTCCCAGGAGGCAGCTGCTGTGCTCAGTTTGGTGTGTGTTTGCTGCTTCTTCCGGTCTGTGTACTTGTGCTTGTGTTTGTGTTCATAGACAGGTTAGGGTATGTGTTTCAGAATATTGACATATTATGCCTCTGAAGCTTGCTTTTTCACTCAGCACTATATACTCTTACTTTTTCTTTCCCTGTCTCTTTCCAGTGGAAGAAAGCAGAAGAGAAACTAGAGCGAGAGCTACTGGAGGCAGAAGCTTCAGAGAGCACGGAGAGAAAACTTAAACTGGTAGGCAGTTTCACATTCTCTCACGCTTTTAAAATGTTTTGTTAAATGGTTTTAACTAGAGATTATTGTTTCAACTTGGGGTTGTATAATCTTGGTTTATCTGCTGAGTCTTCGATGTGATCATTGCTGGTCTCGTGAAATTGCAAGGTGCGTATCTTCATTCTGTTTTGTTGAAGCTCCTAAGATTGGACTGTGGAAAGGGTTGGGAAAGGACGGAAGGTTGAGCTTTGACCGTCATTGCTGCAGTAACTCAGGAGAAAGGGTACGGGGTTATACTCAAGTCATTTTGTCTGCTTCTTCTGCCAGCACACGGAGACTTTGAATATTGTGTTTGTGACCTACTTCAGAATATTGAAGAAGGCCCAGAGGTCACCTCTCCTGCCATCAGTTCTAGAAGGCCTTGCCAAGTAAGGGCTGTGTAGATTGAAGCCTTTTCAGTTCTTTCTAAATAAGTAAGACCAAAAAACCCATGACTCTTAACCAGCGTTCACTAATGATGACCCGGTGTCCTTTTCCTTCTTTGTCACCGGCCTTTCCTTGAAACTGTTCATAATGCTGTCTTTTCAGTTTTCTCATCTCAAGCCTTTTATTTTTTAAATCTCCTTCAGTAACTCCTTTCTTCTGCTGACTAAGTTCTGGGGGTCCCGAAAGTTCATTTCTTCAGTTCTTGGTTCTTTTTGCGCTGTGGTCAGTTACCCGCTGTCGGACTTCCGAGCAGCCTGTGCAGGCGACTCTTCAGTCTCTTCTGACCCTGCTTGCACATCCTTTTCTCGAGTCCTGTGCGGTCTTTCCGGGAAAGAGGAATCTCTCTGTCTGTTCTAGTGAACCTGTTGGGGGATGTGAGCTAGAATAATGGTGGTTGTGGTGGTTTTCCAGGTATGTGAGGTAGTATCCTGTAGAACAGTGCGATAGAACTATAATGTGAACTACTTACGTGATTTAAAGTTCTCCGTTAGCCACATTAAAAAAGTAAAAAACTGGTGCAATTAATTTTAACATATTTTATCGAACTCAGTTTAAAATATTTTGATGTGTAATTGGTATTAGTTATTGAGATACTTGGTATTCTTATTTTCATAAAAACCAATGGATATTTTACACAGCGCATCTCAGTTTGGACCAGTCCCATTTTAAATGCCTGATAGCTGCGTGTGCTAGTGGCTGCCCTCATTGGACAGCGCAGCTTTTAGAAACAGGACTTACGGTTGGAAGAAAGAGCAAAGGCAAGTTCCGTTCAGTATAGGAAATTTCTTTGTAATGACTGGAGTTGTTTGGCAATGGGATTGTAAAGTAATTGGACCTTGTTATTGAAAAGATTCAAAGGGAGGTTGGTCAGAGAAGGGATTAGGACCTACTGTTTGTTTTTCAATGACCAATTCCTTTATTTAAAAAAGCTTTTAGTCATATCTACTTACTTTAAAAATTCAAATGATTCAGAAGCATATAAAATTAAAAAATTACAATTTCTCCTATATATATACGTAAGTCTGTCTGTCTGTCTTCTGTCACACAGATGGAATCCTGCTACGTAGACTGTTCTGTTTTGATAAAATGGTTACTTTGGGTATCTTCCCATGTTGGTGTGATTATATCCACCTTTTTTTTTTTTACATTTGGAATATTCCATTTTATGGATCGGTAATACTTTTATTTGGCCAGTCCCCTGTGCTGCACTGGAAATACCTTCATGCACTTTTGTGCATATATTGCCTGGTCAGAGGGTCTGCTCGTTTTAAATGTTGATAAATATTGCCTAGTTGCTTCACAGAAAAGTTGTACTAGTTAGTACACGGGGAATGTTATCACTTTTAAGATTCTTTCTTACTCTAAGCTTTGTGTAGTGTCAAAGGCTCTTGCACTGATATTGAAGAAAGATCTTGACTTTAATTACGTCAGTGCCTAGGATTTTACACTGTACAGCGTGCTCTCACATTTAGTAGGTCAGCTGATTCTTCACTCTACTGAGTGATCTCAGTTATTTCTAGAAACAGAGGCCCAGGACTGACAGTGACATACCTAGGATCATACAGGCAATTACTTTCAGAGCCTGAACTAGATGCTAGGTCCAATATTCTTCCCATTTTATTTTTAAAGCTTTAGTAGAGTCCATATTCCTATAAATAAGAGTCTCTTTCCTCCTTTGCCTTTTCCCGCTTCCCATTTTTCCAGAAGCTGATGTTTTTGGCTCTCTTCCGAGTTAGAGCAGCACGGGGTAGCTGGTAAACTTTCCTTGGAGAGTTGTTTTTAACAGCTTGTTTTGTAGGGCAGAAGTATTTCTGAAATATTTTCAGTTTGTTTAGTGCCTCATATATTCCTGCTGAGTGTAGTGTCCAGCTGTGGGTGAATTGTTAGAAAGGTCATTCTGAATTAATGAGAAGTATCAGTAATTACCACCATCTGCATCACAACTAACATTGAAATAGGGAATATTAAAAATATGGCTTTAAAGTCAAGTTTAATTTCTGACTGTTTTATTTCTGTTTTTAGGTCACCTATTGACTAAGCTCTGTTTGATTCTAGGTTTGCTCACCTTATAAATGTGGAGTTTTTTGATGATTTATTAGTAGTACTGCATACTCTCATCGAATCTGGTGTAAGTAACTCTAATGAATTCCTTTCTAAGATATGAATGGTGATTATTATCCTTAATGTCCTTTTCTCCCTTTTTTTTCCCCCAAGGACCTGAGCTATCGAGAAAGCCTTCACTGCGTCCAGACTGCTTTTCATATTCTTTCTGGGCAAGGTAAAATATTTTCTTAATCAAGTTTTGTTTGCTTTACCTTTGCAGGCTGTAATATACCTAATTGTTTGTTGTAATTTCAAAGGTGATGTTCTGAATATTGATCCGATGAAATTCTATACACATCTGTATAAAACACTGTTCAAGTTACATGCAGGTATGTACATTTAGATAATGTATCTTTAATAAATACTTATCTTTTAAGAATATCTTGTGTATAGTCAATGAAAAATGAGAAATCAGAATTGGTGTATTAGAATGTTGGCCTCTGAGGGCCACACATCTGTATTTAACCTTATGTAAGAGTTGGAGAAAGAGAATTTCTGGAATTATGGTAGAACCCTCTGCATCTCCTGAGCAGTATAGCACTACTTCATTGGTTAGGGAAATGATTTGGGACAGGTATGACAGTTTGTCTTGGGTTTTCTGGAATGCAGTGAAGTTGTATAATGAAAAAGTAATGATACTAGGTATTTACCCCAAAGATACAAATGTAGTGATCGAAGGGGTACCTGCACCCCAGTGTTCATAGCAGCAATGTCCACAATAGCCAGTCTGGAAAGAGCTGAGATGTCCATCAACAGATGAACGGATAAAGAAGATGTGATACACACACACACACACACACACACACACAATGGAATATTACTCAGCCATCAGAAAGGACGAATACTTACCACTTACATCAACGTGGACGGAACTGAAGGGTATTATGCTGAGTGAAATAAGTCAGTCAGAGAAAGGCAATTATCATATGGTTTCACTCATATGTGGAATATAAGAAACAGGGCAGAGGACCGTAGGGGAAGAGAGGGAAAACAGAATAAATGGAAGGAAATCAGGGAGACAAACCATGAGAAACTCTTAAGTACAGGAAACCAACTGAGGGTTGCTAGAGGAGTAGGGGGATGGGGTAACTGGGTGGTGGGCATTAAGGAGGGCATGTGATATGATGAGCACTGGGTGTTGTATACAACTGATGAATTATTGAACACTACATCTGAAAACTAATGATGTAATGTAGGTTGGTTAATTGAATTAAAAAAAAAAAAAAAGGAATGAGAACAGCCTTGAAGGGTATATCTGCTCTTTTAGGTGCTACCAATGAAGGTGTCGAGATTCTGCTCCAGTGCCTTGATGTCATGCTAACTAAGCGCAGGAAGCAGGTTTCTCAGCAGAGAGCCCTTGCTTTCATCAAGCGTCTTTGTACCCTTGCTCTTCACGTTCTTCCAAATTCAAGCATTGGCATTTTAGGAACTAACAGAATATTAATGCACGTAAGTAATGAGACAAAGCCAAGGTCTGGTAGTACAACAGTGCTATCTTGTTTGCATCTTTTCCCCCATCTATGTTATTACTGTGATAAGGCAAAATGGTAGAATCCAGTGAGAAAAGAAGTATATAAAATTACAAAACCAAAGCATTGCCACCCCTGTTGACACTCTCCAGAGGTAATCATTTTTACCATTTGTTGGGTTTTCTTCCAGCAGACTTTTTTATTCATATATAAACATGTACAACACACATACACAGACAACACAGCTTTTTTATAGTATACATTATTCTACAACATTTTTTTTAACACTAACGGTGATGGACACATTTTTGTGTCAGTACAAATACAGCTATAAAGTACATGTGTTTATAGCTCTTTTTAAAAAATGTTTTATTTTTTAAGTAGGCTCTATGCATACCCAGCATGGGGCTCGAACTCATGACCCCAAGATCAAGAGTCACTCCACAGTCTACTGAGCCAGCCAGGTTCCCCGCTTATAGCTTTTATTTAAGCATAAAAACCAAATTAAATTTAAATTAAAATAAAAGTATAGAACCCAATAACGTTCTTTACCAGTATTAATTGAATTAATTATTTTTATGTGACATTTTTGCAGACTTTCCCAAAAACAGATCTGTTGCTTGACAATGAGTCTCAGGGAAGTGGGGTTTTCCTTCCTGAGCTGGATGAACCCGAGTACTGTAATGCTCAGAACACTGCGCTTTGGGAATTACATGCACTACGGGTAAGAATGGCCCTTCCTTTTTTTTTTTTTTCTTACTATGTTATGTTAGTCACCATACAGTACATCATTAGTTTTGACGTAGTGTTCCATGATTCATTGTTTGCGTATAACACCCAACGAGGATGGCCCTTTCTTTGTGAGCGGTGTTTTTCAGTTTTTCCCCAAGTCGTTACTATTGCTAGAGTCCTCAATATAATTTTGTTCTGGGATGGCTTTTTGGAGAATTCCTGTTTTAATAGTCTACATTTCACTTTGCTCTTACTGTTCTTTAAGATGTTGAGGTACATTTTCTGAGGAGGCAGAAAATAACATTTTTGTGGGGTGAGGTTTAGAAAATTGGACTGTTCCCCAGCGCTATTCAGAATGGAAGATTTGTACTGGGTCCTGCCCAAGGAGACTCTGGTAGCCCCTCAGTTTCAAGAGGGCAGCACTGTTGTGATTCTACGGTGCAGACATGTTAGAGGGAGACTCGTAGCAAATAATGTTTCAGGAAACCTGTTGTAAACTAACGTTTTTCATTCTAAGAGAGAAATTGCTTCTTGATTTTTCTTTTCATGCTGTAAAAGCAAGACTAAGCTATGTCACTGGTAACCTGGTCATCAGATTCATGTTGTTATCATGTGAGCAGAGAGTATTTTTTCTGTCGGTATGTGGTTATGTGAATTAATTACACATATATGATTTAAAAAAATAGTGTTCATTAGAGAAAATCTTTGCTGAAGCCAGTGTTTTATGAAGTACTGACCTGTGCAAAATGTGGCTGTCCTGCTTGTCCTTCAGAGACATTACCATCCCGTCGTGCAGAGATTTGCGGCTCACCTGATCGCTGGAGCCCCCTCTGAAGGCTCAGAAGCACTCAAACCGGAGTTGAGCCGGAGGTAATCAGACCACAGACTGTAGTTGGTCTCTGTTCGCTCAGAGAAGTCTGCTCTATTTATAAAGTGATAGGTTTTAAAACAGAAAGTGCCAGTTGATCTGGATTTGGTCTCACTTCATATTCCTGAATTGTTCTAAGGAGAAAACATGCCGACAGTGATTTTGTTAGTGTGTTTTTGGTAATCGCTTAACGTTTTTTTTTGGGTTATAAAAAGTTTCACACATCCAGGTAAGTAGAGAGAATAGTGAAAACACATACCCCCGACACTCAGCTTCAGCAGTTAATAAGATAATGCCATATTTGCTCCCTGGGAAGATCCACGAGTCCAAGCAAAGTGAGATTCCTCCCTGCCGCTGAATGGTCGGTTGTGCTAGGGCCAGCAGGGGAGAAGTGAGAGAAGAAAGTGCTTTGGAACACTGCTACTCACAGGGGCCGCACTTCCTCTCCGTGGGCCTCCCTGTCCTCTCGGTGCAGCGCGGCCTGGCCAGCTGGTACTCCCAGCCTCCACCGTACGCTCCAGGTGGGGAGTAGGATCCTGCCAAGAGAAGTTTCTTTTCCAGCTTCTTACTCTGAAAAATTTCAAAAGTACAGAAAAGTTGAAAAAATAATGGCCCTTTTCCCTACAAAATGAGGCAATTACACAGAAAAGGAAATGACATAAAAGACACCCTTGTAATATACTCACCATTCACAATTAATATTCTGCTGTAGAATTCTCATTTACAGCCCACTGGTTCTCTAATTTGGAGATCATAGACAAGTGACTGGTAGGCCAGCAGATTGGTATTCTGGCCTCTTCAGAGTTTAAACAAAAATTGAATTATTTGCTATATTTTAAATATTGGACAGATTCACCTAAAAGTTCCAGCTTCTCTTGAAGTACTGGGAGATTTGGCAAAATAGGTCTATATTTTTACATGGCAGAAGTCAGCTGCTTCCTCCCTCTAAATGAGGCAGAAACTCCAGTTTTCCATGAACCCTTTTCCTTCTGGGTAGAAGAGAGAGAACTTTTGGCCTTATTAAATGATAAAGTGGCCATTGACTTTTTTCTTCCCTCATACTTTCCACCTGTCCTCCAGCCTCATTTTTTAAAAGGGAGAAAAAGGAGAAAACAATTACCTGTCAGTTTTCTTATTCATGATCTTTTTTTGGCATGTTTTTGTCAAAGATCTTGAACATCTGCCTCATTTATGCCAGAAGTTTCTTTCTCTGGAGGAAGATGAAGAATGGGTTTATCCCAAAAGCTTGAGAAAGAAGACTCATGATGGTCTTGTCCTGGAGGGTGGAGCTTGGGATGAGACTCTAATTGCAACCGTTGTAGGCCCTTGCTGATCTCCTTCGGGGAATGTGAACCAACCCCAAGTCAGGATTCATTGACATGCCATGGTATAGACATTTAGTCTGTCCTTGGCCTCTCCTTGCTCCTAATCCAGGCCAATAACTGAGGGGTTGAGCTATTTGAAATTCATGGAGGGTAACTCCATGCTTCACTCATCTGGCCCCCATGACTTAGCTGCATATTGTTCCCATAACTGGCCGAGTTGGGATTTGATTACACTGAGCTGGAGTTCTTCTGCTCAGCCTTGTCTTTGTCCAGGCCTGTATTTCTACATGTACACCAGACCTCTCTGAGGTAGATTTAGTTGGATGGCATTGTCATTACATGGGAATTTAGGATTTATTTTATGAGTGTGTTGGTTTGTTGGTTTCAAGAGCAGGATTATGTTATATCTTACTATATGGGTTTAGAATAATGAGTCCTTCTCTTTGGGTACAATCTAGTTTTTTCAGGTTATACAGATAGGGTAATGTCCTTACATTCCTTCTGTGATTATAGATCTGCTGCAGAACTTTTTGAGACATACAGCATGGCTGCAATGACATTCAATCCTCCTGTTAAGTCTTCAAGTTCCAAAAGGAAGGTATGTGATACTTTTTCATTTTTTTTAAAAGATGAAATAAAAACTAAATGTCTCTATTAACCGATTCCAACTTGCTTAATTGTATTATAGGTAGATTTTTTTTCATGTTTAGGAGTTGATGGTAGGCTGGATCTGTAGGGTTGGGACTCTGGAGATAGTCACGAGACTGTTTTGTTCAGTGTAGGCTGTGTCCCAGACTGGACCCAGCGCTTGTCATATCGGGTTTCATGTGTTGGTTCGCGGTCTGCTGTTGCCATTTTCAATTTTGCTCACAGCTTGGCTTTTGCTTATGACAGAAGAACTTTTAATGTGAGTCACTTTTAATATTTTTTCAGAGTGAAGTTTTACAAGGGGATTCATTTTTGAATGAAGATTTAAATCAACTAATCAAAAGACATTGCAGTGAAGTAGCTACTCACTTGCCTCTGGATTTCCTCAAGTATTTGAAAACATCACTACGGTAGTAGAAGAAGGAGGAGTCGGTGGACTTTCTCTTATATTTGTTTAGATGCACATAGAGACCCACTGTTAATTTAGGACATTCTCTTTTTATACAAGGGAAGCTTCCTAAGAAAATTAACAGCGGAGGAAGAATTACGCTTTGCATGGCACAGGGTTCTGCCCCAATTCTGAAATTGTCATTAAGAAAGGAGAATTGAAAACCACCTACCCCCATATTTGGAAGTTTCTTAATGACATTGCCTTTTTAAAACTAACATATCTTGGGATGCCTGGGTGGCTCAGTTGGTTGAGTATCCAACTCTGGATTTTGGCTCAGGTCATGATTTCAGGGTCGTGAGACTGAGCCCCACGTCGGGCTCTGTGCTAGGTGTGGAGCCTGCCTAAGATTCTCTCTCCCCCTCTGCCCCAAGCCCCTGCACTCCCCCCCCCAAAAAACCCAAAAACAAAAAACTTAATATACATCTTAAGTTATAGTTTTAAAAGAATCTTTGGAGTGAACTTAATTGGATTACAGCTACCCCCTTAAAATGAGGGCATAGAGTGCAGAAAAATCAAGACCATGAGATTGCGTTTTAAAATTCAGCACTTTTCATTTATTTATTTTTTTTAAAGATTTTATTTATTTGAGAGAGAGAGAGAACCAGAACACAAGCAGGGGGAGTGGGAGAGGGAACAGCAGGCTTCCTGCCAAGCAGGGAGCCCAATGCGGGGCTCCATCCCCGGACCCCGGGATCATGACCTGAGCTGAAGACAGATGCTTAACGACTGAGCCACCCAGGTGCCCCTCAGCTACTCTTTATAACCAAAACTCTTTCAAATGAAATAAATATATTTTTTTGCAATACTACAGATGGAAATGAGAAAAATTCTACACTTGAGTATATTTTCAGGAAGACTTTTTATTTTTTTAAAGATTTTATTTATTCACTTGAGAGAGAATGAGAGAGAGAGAGCACATGAGAGGGGGGAGGGTCAGAGGGAGAAGCAGACTCCCCGCTGAGCAGGGAGCCCGACGCGGGACTCGATCCCGGGACTCCAGGATCATGACCTGAGCTGAAGGCAGTCGCTTAACCGACTGAGCCACCCAGGCACCCTTCAGGAAGATTTTTGAGAAAAGAAAAAATAGCTTGAAATTGGAGATCAGGTTCATTGGCTCTGGCTGAATGATACACTTCAAGAAGTAATTTGATCTTTTTAAAAAAGAACGAGAGTGTTCATTATGGCTACTTGCAAAAAGAGTTTGAATGTGATTCTAGTCTCTTCACAGTTCTTCACATTTTCTGCCGTGTTCTGGAGGGTGATGGGGGAAGAACTGGGTGGAAAAACCAAGTCGAAGACTTGCCTCTGTTTTAAGGATAAATGGTGCCTGTTGAGGGGCTTCTCCTCCTCCTCCTCCTTTTGCTGCTCTTCTTCCTTCGTCGTCATTGTCTGTCCAGACACAGTCCTGTTCTTACGACTATAATTAAAAAGCAATATTTTACCTGAGCTATCGCCATATTCTAGGAATGGCCTATGAAATAAGTTTTTGTAACAACCAGGTTATAAATACTCTATAGTGTGAATAATTGAATAAAACACCTGCCTTTTTTTTTTTGGCTTCCTATTCTTATGATGTGAGAATTTAGAAAAAGTGCACAGAGTCACAACTAAATAGATCTCTTACGTCTTCAAAACTGTAGAAGCCAATTCTTTTGGTCTAGAGCTTAAAGCTCTTTTTTCCCCTCATGACATAAGTGAAAATAGAAAGTTCCTTTATTACTCCTGCTTAATGGGGGAGATAGCTCAACAGTGCATGTTAATCTTTTAGCATATTCTTATATGTGATTTTAAAAAGTGGTTTTTTTTAGGCTTAAGGAGAATGTATGATTTAACATATAAGTATTTGCTTTTAATCCACATTTTAGGTATAAAACAAAGTCCAGAAATGTTATGAATAGTGTTTTGGATGACAACAGGGTCTTTCCCCATCAGAGCACAAGTGACCATTACATGTCACAAATCATTTATTTTCCAAACATACACAAATACATTTATATTTCACTTTGGCAGCAGAAACTGTAGTTTAGGCGAAAAATCAATTTAAAGTAGAAATTCATCAACTATTTCACACTTGTTATTATGCTTTTAACCTTCTAGTTACACATATAGAGAATCACAGTGGGACCATAAAATTCTACATCTAGCATTTGAATGCTCTATGAATTTGAGAATGAAATCTATTTGTGCATAAACTTATATGGCCTATATTGATGAGTTTCATTTTCAGAACTAAATATCCTGGTCATTAACAGTAACATACACACACTCTGAGGCTATAACAAGCTACAGCCTTGATATTTTTTTTTTAACTAGACGAATATCGAGCACCTACTGTATGCTTAGCATTGTGCTAGGCACTTAAAAGTGAAGTGGGGGTAATAACGGGTGTAAGACACAGTTTCAGTCTTCCATGGGCTTGCATACTACGATCATTCACACAACATTTAAACAAATGCAACGTTACCCAATTCAGTGTCAGAGTGAATTAGGTCAAAGTTCAGAGATCTAGGAAAGGTCTCATGGACCAGCTTGAGCATAATCTATTTGGGATCTAAGAGATGTACATGAATAACTTGGTAATTGTGGAGATTCAGTACTTCAGGAACATTTAGGTCATCCCATGTGGAATGACCATGGGATGCCATCAGCTGAAGATTCCTTAGGAAGTTGACACTTAGAGATGGCCAAGAATGTATACATTTTTAACAGCACACTGTATCCTGGGAATACTGACCCAAGAATGGACTTAGTGTAAGAGGCAGTCTTCCTTTCCTAATAACTTTCTGGAGGGTCTAGGTATTCACCTTTTTCACTTTGCTGCACACGTGAGAGAAGCAACTGCAAGTGGTCAGAGGCAGCCATCGAGAGAGCTGTAGGCTGTAGGCTGCCTCTCACTCTGCCAAGCTGGAGATCAGACACCAACCAGAAGAATCCTAGTTTTCTCTTGGTGTGGTAGCAGTTAATTCAGTTTTACCAGGCAGAATGCAAGCTCTGTTACTTGTCAGAATTGAGCATGAGCAAGGCCTGTGGGTGTCCAGGCAGAGGATGACAGGTCTACAGAGCTACTGGATAGGGAAAGAGAAGAGAGGAAGGGGAAGATGTAGTTTGAGAAAGGAGTACGTGTGTGGCAGGAGGGGGCCGTCTTCATTAGTGAGCCTCTAGTGTTTCCCGAGCCCCTAAGATGGGAGCCCTTGTATGAAAGCAGATTAAAAACAAGGCACCTGTAACTCACTTCTGTTGAGTTGTAACTCCTATTTACCCCCAACTGGAGAATTTATAAGTAACTATTACTTGCTAAGCATAGGATGACATGAAAAGAGGCATTTCCCTCAAGAGGGCGCTTTCTGTCCAAATAGTATTGTTACTTCCTACAGATTTGCCCGCAAACTTACCCTCAATTCCTTGATGACCTCACATAACCTTCCATTATTTTGCAAAACAACCAATTCCAGATGAACAGGTGACCAGGAGGAAGTCAGTCTATTTCTTCGGCATCACAGACCAGTTGGATTCTTATCTATTCCTTTTTCACCAGCTATACATATTCTGTAAAGTTGTCATCACCCCACAGTAACAGAACTCATGCTCCTTTGTTTTTAGTGAAGCGTCTTGAAATATTTTTCCTCAAAATCTTGTCATAAACCTAGTTTGCATATTTAGATTCTTTTCCATATCAACTTTACTGATAAAAAGTTTGCTACCCAGATTTTTAGTAGTCTGGAAAGTATGAAGTGGTAATGGGTAGAGTCTGGGTGGCCGTTTTCGATTTATTCTAAGTAATAGGATAATTTCTTTCATTTGGTGTACTAACATAGCTATGTAGTTCAGAGAAGCTACAAATAAAAATTTCATATATTTGGCAAACACCAGGTTGTGCCCGTTAGTTGTAATAGAGTGGGTGCTTTACATTTTGAGCAGTGTCCTTCAGAAGGTCCCAAAGACTCTGATACAACGGAGGATGTGCTTTCACCTCAAAATGGAATGAACAACCAAGTTGGGTTCAACATAGGCAATACATTCACTTGTAAAACCTAGTCTCACTTTAGTCTCAGGGAGTTCCAGATTCCGTCCTGCAGCCGAGTCAACGGTGTTACAGGCTGGGGTGGGAGTGGGGTGGGGCTGGAGCTTAGAGTCAAGGCCAAGTGCTAAACCTAGAGACCAGTCTTGCTTCTCATTCCTCTTACGCTGCACGGTTTTCATTTTGACTCTAGCCAGTTAGGCCAGTACCTCAGTTTTCAATACATGATTAGCCAAACAAGAGGAAAAGATGTCAAATTTATAGACGCATGATAAAGTGTTTCTGGAATATTTTTTTTTAAATGGGGCAGTATTTTGCATTTCTTATAGACTGATGATTTGAAAAGAAACCTGTAGCACTGGGCAAACCACATCCAGCTGGAATAGCTTGACTTCTATGGACAAGCAAATGGTGGCTGTTCGAGCATTAAGGCTTTGAGTCAGTAAACGGTAACGTGAAAGCTGTCTGGTGTATTTTTAACACTTCTGACTTTAGAATATGCAGATTACTGGGGACTTGTTTTTATAATTGGTAAAAAGACTTATCAAAGAAAAAGTTAGGATTTTTTGTGTGCTTTATGATTTGAAGAAAAAATTTTAATATTGGTAGAAAGATAAAATTTGGATTTACTTTAGAGGAACACACATTCCATTTTAAAAGTCATAATTTGCTTCATACCAAGAATAAGAAGAATCCTTTACACTTACGTGATAGTTTTACACAGTAAGTTTTAAAGATAATATACCTTAAATGGCAATTATGACTTGGATCAATAGCTCTTCAGTTAATGAGAAATGAAAATGAAGCTTTTTTTTGCATGAAATTCTGGCCCATGTCAGGTATTCAGAGCATACTTTTTTTTTGGGGGGAGATTTGTCTTCAAATAGTGAGACAGAACCACTAGTTTTTCTAATCCATAAGCAGTATCACAAAAGCTATGTATAATAAATATATAAGTACAGTACAGTGCAAAATAAATAAATCTGAACATCAACTCAGTCTACTTTTGCTTTAAGAAATGGTTAAGTTTCTTGTTAAGATGTCACAACTCAGAAGATATTAATTTATACATCATTCTGAATTCAGTTTGTGAAAACCAAAAGTGGAATAATCTGTGAATACATAAGCAATAAACTTAAAAAAAAAAAAACAAAACCAACATCATTCTCTACGTAGAAAGAAATGCTAAAGAAGAGTCACTATGGTGCATAATATAGAAACTACATTGAATTACTTTTTAATGAATCTTATAGGATATATTTACATTTGCAATGCCCCAAAGCTTCCGATCGTCAGCCATGAAGTATATGACTAAACTAGCTTGCTTGTTTTCAGACCTCTGTGGCTCTTTTTCCCAGTTTTCTAAGTCGGGTCAGCAAACTATGGTCCTGGGCCAAATCCAGCCTGCCACCAGGTTTTGTATGGCTCTTGAACTGAGAATTAGTTTTTACATTTTTGAGTGATTGGAAAAAAAAAACCAAAAGAGGATTATTAGTGATGTGAAAATTTTATGAAATTGCAATATCAGCGTCTGCAAATTTTTATTGGAACACAGCCACGCTCACTCACTTCTGTATGGTCTGTGGCTGCTTTTGCACTGTTAACAGCCGAGATGAGTGGCTGCAGCGGAGACTGTAGGGCCCAGAAAGCCTACGATCCTTACTGTCTGGCCCTTTATGGACAGAGTTTGCTGACCCTTGCTTGTTCTAAGTCTGTTATTGCAAGCTTAGCAATGTTCTGACTGCTGACATTTATAAAATAAAATGGCCATCTCCTGGGCTTCTTTGCTGCATTCGTCAGGAAACTGGGTGGTAGGTAGCCCGGTGCCATTTTGTTTGACAGCGTGGACCTCACATCATGTGTGAAGAAGGCTTCCGTTCAGAAATCATCAATTTCCAGTTTAAGTATGATGAAGGTAAGGAAATTTTGTTTCCACCATGTTCACTCTTGACTTTAACTTCTTACTGAAAGATCTTCACCTGTAAAGTGGTATACATAGGCCTGTGAGTATATTTAAAATGAAGGAGCAGCAACGTCTGTAGTGTAGCAACGGTTTAGTGTGGTTCAACCAAGAGAAACCCACAACTCTGGTGGCTGGTTTTGGAGGAGAGACTCTTGGCTAGAAACTTGCAGTGTCAGGACACCTGGGTGGCTCAGTCGGTTGTGTCTGCCTTTGGCTCAAGTCATGATCCCAGGGTCCTGGGATCAAGTTCTGCATCAGGCTCCCTGCTGAGCAGGGAGCCTGCCATTCCCCCTGCTTGTGCTTTCTGTCTGACAATAAAAAAAAAATCTTTAAACTTGCAGTGTTGTAACACGATGTTCCTGGGAGGTGGAATGTGAGCCTACTTCTGCCCTGGAACACCACAGCCTTTAGAAAGATTTTTTAAGTAACAATCAGATAAACTTCAACTTCTCTAAAAGGTGGAATTCCTTCAACTCTGCATCATTTCAGATAAGAGTAAGGTAAATAATTGTTTATGAGTTCTTAAATGATTAAAGGGTAACTTAAAACTTTAGGGGTGAAAGTTTTAGAATCAGAACATGAAAACTTCTGTTTTCATAAGCAGTGAATACACTAAACTTGCCTTCTCGTGAGCACCGAAAGTCTCTCTTCTCACAAGCGCCCCTTTTTGAGGACACTGTAATTTATGAGATTCATGTACCCATAGATGCACCCATGTCTGTTTTTAAAGAAAAACTTCCTCAGGTTTAAGCAAAGCTGAGGTCAACTGAATGATTCTGAATGCTTGCTACAGAAAAATACAGTCCAAAACATACTTCTAAATCACCCCCTCTCCTAACGCTCATCGCAGCAGGCTTCTTTGTAAGTCAGCTTTCTGGTGGCGTTGTACTCCTATGGACTTCCATAATCCTGCAGCACGACGAGGGCTCCATTTGTGCGGAGAGTGACGCCACCATCACTATGGAGGTCATTATGGAGGGGTATGTAAACCTGACATCTCTGATTCATTTGGTACTAAGTTCTTGATCGAGAAAAACAATATTTTAAATTTTCATTACTGTCCTTAACGGCGTATGCCCACAGACCCACTACCAAGATGAGTCATTCTCTCAAAGCTGGAGAGGCTCAACACTGGTGCTTAGTTCTAAAGCTCACCTGGCTTTTGGAGAAGGCACTGACTCTCAGTGACCTGGGGCAAATAAGAAAGTCTGGAACTTTTAAAAATTAAGATTCTAGATGTATCTCGACAGAAAACGGGTGTTAAGCCTTCTCTGAGTGTGGCACAGCACGGCTTCGCCGTTCTGTGCGTATTCACTATTATCCGATGTGTGATGTGGATTGCTGCCCTGGTTCCGCGAGTTCCTTCAGATGAGCCTTTACATACAGAACCTAAGTAACCTTGCACCTCTCAGTATAGTTGGATACGCCAATATTCTGGAGGGGATTTCCTGTATTTGGTCCCATCTGTTGTTTTGAAAGAGCTTTGTATGTGTGGTACAGGGCACCAATTATTTTAGGAGTTTCTCAAATGTAGAAACATGGGCTCAGTGTATTGGGCCTTCTTTTGTGCTCTTATAAATCAGATTAGGTCCTGCCAAAAGGTATCAATGAATTCTTTAATGTGAGCTTCTACAGTTTTATATAAGAAATTCCTTATTGTGATAAAGGCAGACGATGAAGCCCTGCAGTGTGAGCAGCAATGCCTTTGCTAGGCTAGCAGTCTCAATTTTAGAACTACAATGGTGCAGGTAAAGAGTGGGCTTTAATAATCCCTTGGGATCATTAAGAAGTAAAAAAATATATATGTGCTTGGTTTCCTCATATTCTTTTTTTTTTTTTTTTTTTAATTTGGGTTCCATTTAATCTTTTAAGATGGAATGAAGTTTACTCTGTGGATACCAAGCAGTGGGTAGGCAACCAAAGGCTGAGTTTACTGCAGTTTCCAGATAGAGGCTGTTACACAGTTTTGAATGCCAGATTTTTATTTTTTAATTGAGGCAGACCAAGGTGAGGTTGTTGAGGCTAAATCAAACCTCAAAATAGACAGCATGAAACTAAAAATCCAAAGGAATGAAAGCTGAATGACCCAAAGCAATCCTTTGAGAATATTTGTGTTAGCAATGGTTAAGGCAGTTCTAGGTCTGATAAGATAAAGCTGATGTAGTAGTTTGGGCAAGTTGGTTGTCTTCTTGGGGCCTTCGTTTGGCTATCTACAAAACCAGTCGGTCTAAAATTATAAATACTGAAGGTACATGGATCTTCAGAGCCCTTTTCCTGTTTTTAGGTACGATTCCTATCTGCCTTTGGGACATCGTCCTCTGGGCCTGCTGTGCCTTACACAGTAGGGTAAGTGGGCCCCCATTTCAGAATGGCGCAGTGACTCGATCTATCTGGGTAAAACGTGCCAACCTTGGTTATTGTCGGTACTCTGTGGTGTCACTGGAGGGCAAGCTGCCCACCAGTTTCTCCTCCTTGCTTTGGACACTTTCTGAGGCCAAGACCTGAGAAGGTGATGTGAGTCCTCGGGGCTGTTTAGTTGACTTGGTGAACTTCTTGAATTCACTTGCAAAAGAAATGCCTTTTCTTTTGTCTTCTCGGGATGCCTGTGAAAAAAAAGAACCTTCCATGGGTATAAGGTGAAAGCCGGGATCCCCAGTCACCTGACACGCTATCATGGAGCCCTTTCCTCTTTTTCTCTAGTAGGTAGAGCTTTGGGAAGAAGTGCTGAGGGAGTCCCCTCTCAGGGCTGCTTACCCACAGTGGGGAGTACATTTCTTTTCATGTAGTGAAAGTGAAGCCAAACCATTTTCTCCTAACTATATCCCTTGCCTCAGAAACTTTCTCCTAGATTTCCTAAGTTCCCAGATTTGATCACCACCTGGTATGAGTATCAAGTGCTTTGTGGAGACAGCAAAAGAACTTTGAACTTTACCTGCACCTGCTCCTTTAGCTTAAGGATGAATTTTCCTGCACCTTTCCACTTGCTTTGGGCTTGAAACACACACTCCTGATCCAAAAGAACCCGCTGGGAGGACTTCGGGGTGGAAGACTTCTTGGTAGCGTCTTTCACCACCTCTTCCAAAAGCACATAGTCACTCGGGTTGGGGTTGCTCAGGATGCTATAGGAATATTTGGCTTTGCATAAGGTCTGAAAGAGAAGTTACGGCTCACTGAATACACGGTATCTCCAACACTTGCATTCATTCTGAATGAAACTTGAAGGTGGGAAAATGTCACAGACTTTTAGAGAAGGAGGGGATCTTTCTCAGATTGTATCGTCCCATTCCTCAGTTTATGTTTGCGTAGTTGTCGCTTGTAATTGGGCTTCACAGCAGACCGTGATTTAGGTATTATTACCCCATTTTCAGACAAGGAAACTTAAATGTATAGAGATTAAGCAGACTCCAGAGAATGCACAGCTAATGAGTAACAGAATAAGGATGTCGACCGGGTTTTCTACATGCACCAAAGCTCATAGACATGAAGGTCACACAGAACGGGAGGGGCAGAATCTTGACCCTCGGGAACCTCTCTATCACAGAGTCTTGGGTGTGGAAGGCATTTTAGTAATTTACCCGGTCTCACTTTTCATTTAATACAAGATCATCTTTCATTTATACGTTTATTTGCTCATCAAATGTTTAGTGAGGGCCTTCTGTGTCACAGATACTGTATTATACTTTGGGGGGATAAAGGTGAAAAAAACCAAACAAACATATGTCTGGGTTCTCTTGGACTTTCAAACTCTACTAAGGAGGCAAATTTTAACCACATCATTGTGTAATAATAGCAGATAGCACTTAAACGGTGTTTACCAGGTGCTAGGCATTGTACACCTTACGTATATTTACTGACTTGATCTTCACAACAACTCTGTGTGGAAAGGACTATTATACAATCTCCATGTTGTGGATGTAGTAGCTTACCACAGAGTATATAATATAGTGTGCTGGAGCCAACTGGAATGGGCCAGTGAAATCAGACGTGGTGGGAGTATCCACACAACAGAAATTGGCAAATACTAAAAATCAGTTTGGCTCTTTTTTTCCCTTAAGACAGCTAGTCTACCAGCACACCACTGTAACTGAGGCACGAAGGAGGAGAGCTGGGATTTAAACCTGGAGCAATCTGATTTAGTGTCTGTGTGTTAACCATTATGGCTATACCACTTCTCAACTGGGTATTTAATAAACCATGATGAGGCTTGAAGGAAGGAGATACAGTTCTTTGAAACCATGTACACAAAGAAGCATGACTTAGAGGAGGGAGAGGGCCAGAGAAGGCCTCCAGCATGTCCTCTGTAAGATCTTTGAGAAACAGTCACCAGGGACTGGCTTAGGCATTTCTGGGCCAATGAAATTACTACTCTGTGGAGCCCCCTCCTAAATCTGTTATCAACACTTCCACAGAGAGCCAGACTCATGATAGATACTAGGCAAGTGTCTGTTGAAGGAATGAACTAGCATGTCCCAACCTAGAGGCACACTCTCCCTTTTCAGATCCCCATTGTTCTAGAACTTCTCATAAAATGAGCTGACATCTGATTTGTGCCAGTGATTTACACTGAGGAGCAGACCGAGGAGAGCAAGGGTGAGGCTTTCACCTGCTGAATGACATCCTGCGCAGTGCTGACACGGGGTGCTTTGATGACTGTTCGAGGTTGCTCTGGAGAAACGTCATGCACTTGGACAAAGAAACTCTCCTCCTCGGAGTTCAAGATTACCTCCTTGTCATCTTGAACAATGCTTCTCTCTTCTAGGTTCTATGTTAAAAAAGAAGAAAAGTATGAGTAAATGGTAAGATGATGTAGAGCAAGAAAGAAAAACCCAGTGAAAACGTGAGCTGTTCTGGGCAATGTTGGAAACTATTTCTCAGCTATTTCATACACTAGTTAATAGTTCATAAACGATTCTACAAGGATATCCATGTCTTCTGAGAGGAAGAAAGTAATGTAGGTATTTCTGCTGATGTTGACAGACTGATAAGTTCTGGCTTACAATGAGCCAGTAGATCTCCTACTACCTGTGGATTTTGAGTCCAAGTCACTGTAGATAAATTGTACAAGGACAACATACCATATTGCCAATGACCAAAAGCCAAATAAGAACACAGTAAATTACATTTAAGAGAGAGCCCATCCATTCCCTACACAGGCCTTGGGCAGTTAAGAAATACTAGACAATCTGAACATGAAGCATGCAAACTGACCCTCAGCCAGGCTGGACGGATAGAACCAGCAGTGAAAAGGCTGAAACGATGGCTGGAGGTAGCACACACTGAAATGAATATTGACAAAATTCTCAATAATTATGAGAATTGGTCATCAGGTTAATTGGCTTTTGGTGAACTGGCTTTCAGTAAATTTTAAACATGTAACTATATATTAAATATATATTTAGATTATAGATACATGAATCTTATTGAAACTTTCCAAACAGTATAGAAATATATCAATAAAAAGCCAAAATTTCCCCATTATCACCCCCCCCATCTCATTCTCCACAAAAAACCCATTGTTGTTAGGTTATATATGCTTCTAAACATCTGCTATGGATCTGTGTATTTTTGTGTATGTGAACACATATATACAATGAAACCCTGGAATTATGTGAATTTAGATATAATATCGTGGAATGGCTCCTGTTTTTTGTTAGCCCCATTCTCAAATGAAAGGTAGCTTACAGTTCTCTTCTGTAAGGGGGAGGCCTGAAGGGGGAGGGGCAACCCCATCTCAGGGAGTGAGCATTTAGCAGAAAGGTCCTTCGATCTCCAAAAGTCTCCTAGCCTAATCTCCTCAGATCAAGGCACTGAAATGGTGCTAACCAACCAGAAAAATCCAGGAATCACTGCCACACTCCTGGAGGTTCCAACCAGCCATAGGACCCAGAATTGTCCCCATTGATATTAAAGTCAGAATGGATAACTGCCACCAGGTGGCGCCAAACTGCAGCCAGAACCAGAAAGGACTGGTTCCTGGAGTTTCTTGCCAACCAGCCCCTCAGGCTCACCCCGATCATTTCATTAATCTTGTAATCATGGTCCCTACAATTTTCAGGACTGATGTTTTTGGACCCCATTTGTTATATTAAGGGTGTTGGGCAGGGGAGAGTTACTGTCTTTATTATATAAACTCCATATAATGTTCTGCAACTTTTTTTGTCTCCACTTAAAAGATTGTGTTCATTTCATATCACTTCTTAGAGATTTTAGCTGTGTAATATGTCACTGTGTTGATCATAATATATTTAACCAGTTGGAGAGTGGGGTTGGGTGGTAATTCATCTGACACAATTTATAATCTGTATCTTGAAAACCGGGAAGCAAGCAAGCATGAAAAAAAAAAGGTTCTAACGGACACATAAAATACCCCAATAACTATGCAATAAACATGACTTTTCAGAGAGCTCCTTGGAGCCTCACTCAGAGCTTATTTATTTCCAAGGAGCTTTCTGCCCACATTAGAAGGCACAGGTTATGACCAGAATAACGGCCCTCACTTGTAGCTCTTTATAACTTACTAAGCATTTTTCTACATATTGTCTGTATGTTTGGCACGAGTCTCATGTTAATGTTTTTCAATCAGGCACAGTAGTTTCTCTTACAGATTTACAAATTAGGGCACAGAGGTTTACAGAAGTTAAATGAGCTGTCCAAGGTCATCTAATTTGTGGCAGAGCCAGGTCTGTCTGATTTCAAATCCAGCAGGTGTCCCGGGAGGGCATACTGACCACAGGAAGATGTGATCCTGACAGCCTGAGAGCCTAGAAGACAAGAAAACTATAAAAGGGCAGGCAGGCAGAGGAGATCAGAGGTCATGGATGGCAGTTTGGGGACTTTGAATATATGAACAAACTGCTTATTCATCTCACTAGTTCCACAGAATGAAATACACGGAAATACTTAGAGCCCAAATCTATCAACTATGCTAGTATCTGCTTGCATTCAATAATTGCTGAATTCATTTATTCAGTCAGTAAATATGTACTGTGTATGACTATGTACCAGGTCAACCTAAACACTTTAAATGTGATTTGTTATCTTAGCAGACACATGTCAGTCATTTAAAAAATCTCCCCATGCCTGGGCGGCTCAGTCAGTTAAGCATCTGCCTTCAGCTCAAGTCATGATCTGGGAGTCTCGGCACCGATCCCTGCATCGGGGGGCTCCCTGCACAGCGGAGAGTCTGCTTCTCCCCCTGCTCATGCTCTCTGTCTTGCTCACTCACACTCTCTTTCAAATAAATAAGTAAATAAATAATCTTAAAAAAAAAAATCTCCTCCCCACAAAGGCATTATACAGGAGAGCTTGCTGTATTCTCCCCATCAGAAAATGCTTATTAGCCTTCCCTTCTAATTTATCCCCCTTATTCTTCAAAATGCTTCTCTTCCACCAGCCCTTATGAAATATTTATTCCTGAGGTCTCTACAGCCTGTTTTCATATACATTTTAAAGAATTTATTTATTTATTTAAGAGAGTGCCAGCGAGGGGAAGGGCAAAGCGGGAGGGGCAAAGGGAGAGGGACAAGCCGACTCCATGCTCAGCACGGAGCCCCACTTGGGGCTCCATCCCAGGACCCTGAGATCATGACCTGAGCCAAAATCAAGAGTCGGATGCTTCACCGACTGAGCCACCCAGGCGCCCCTCACAAACATTTTAAATCGCATGTGGGCATTCCTAGCCTCCCCAGCCCTTGTAGCCATATGGCGCCGTGGCCTCTCTGCACTCTGCAGCCTGCCCGTGTTCTCTCTTGCTTGCCGCCGACTGCTGCCCCCACAGTGCTGGGCCTTGACACTGACCGGAAAGCCACAGATGTGAGTGCTTTCTGTGTCTCACCCTGTCATGATTTAACCTCTGTGAACCTCCATTTTCTTATGTGTGAAATGGTTTCCATTCTGTCACGAGGTCATTCAAAAGTGCTGAGTGAGAACTAAACACAGTAAATCATCATGCAGTTATATGGTTTGAAAATTCACTTGCTGACATCATCATTTAAAGGATCCTTTTTTTTTTTTACATGTAGCTGGAGAATGAGGCAAGACAACGAGAAATAATAAGAAAAAATGTAGAGAGAAACTGAAGATGGCTTCCAAAGTCCAGCTAAGCCCTCTGGTATTTTCTCGTAAAGCTATAATTATTAGAACTGCTTGTTAACTGTGTCTGCAATGTGTAAGTCCGATAGGGTGAGGAGGCTAGGGAGACAATTACATTTCCTTGCCTAAATGAAGTGTCCTTTTATGGTCTAAGGCAAGGTCAGAAGGAAAGACAGCGGCTCTGGTTTCCCAGAGCAGATGTTGGGGTTCTGTGGAGGATGTAGGCCATGTTCACAGCTCGGTGCACAGTGAAAAAGTAGCACATGATGCTGAAAACTGGCTCTTTATCATCTCCACTGTGTCCCAACGTCCTGGACTTTCGATGGGCGTTTTACCAAGCAAGCTCTATTATGTGCCCCAAAGGAGCAAGATTTTGTGCCCAGAACAGGGCTTGGCTCATAGTAGGTGCTCAGTTACTATTTGTTTAATCTAATTGTTGAATTGACTCAACTCCTTCATTATTGACATATCACGACGCATGACTGTCTATGGTGGAGCAATGACTTTATACGTAATTTTAAAAAATGGCGGGAAGTTGGTGGGCTCTTGTTATTCTGGGGAAAAAAAAAATCAGTGCTCCATTCACAGACTCCAATAGGAGCTAACCAACGTAGAGTTGACACACAGTCACTGAATTGTTTCCTTCATGGGAATGGCTATGGGAATGTTAGTGAACGTAATGTTAATTTTTACTCATTCTGACTGAGGCTGAGAGATTATTCTTGCTGTGTGTGAAGTTACGGAGTATTTTCAAAGGACTACTATTGTTTTACCTAGAAGCACAGGATCTTTTATTAGCTAAAACTTTAATAGGTGTGAACAGGAAGGTAAGCAGTCTCCAAAGGTAAAATACCAATGGGACTAGCATGACAGTACCGTGACGCTTACAACAGTGTTCGCGCAGAAATCAAATCCTGGACCCACAGCTGATGGTGTGCATAAGGAATCCTTTGAGTTCTTGCTCCCCCTGCTCTTTTTTTTTTTTTTTTTTTGCAAAGGATGGTTTTTAGACTAGGTTTCTGTAACTTAGAGATAACATTCTGAATACGTGCAGAAGAATAAAATCATTTCTCTACATTTACTTAAGAAGAACAACAGAAATCAAGTTGCAATTATAAGAAATTCTGAATGGAGGGAGGTGGCCAGTGGTGAAGTGGTTCATCACATACTGTGTTGTTATGGTGTTGGACACACTTACTTCCTGCTGGGTTTTTAAGACAATCCTGCCAACATATCCTTCCTCTGGAAACCAGCTGCTTAAAATCTGCATGATCTCTTCTTCTGGACCGATGGCTCTCTGGAATGGTTGTTTCCTGCATTCATTTTTTTCTTTAGATATAAAATATTTTTCTTCCATCAAAAAATAGTCTGTGACAATAGGTTTGGTGTCTTTTTCAGTAGTCAGAATCTAAAGAACAAGCAAAGGCAAAACTTTAATTCAAAATAAGCCTATTTTTCCGGTGCCTGGGTGGCTCAGTCGGTTAAGCATCTGCCTTCGGCTCAGGTCATGATCCCAGGGTCCTGGGATCAAGTCCTGCATCAGGCTCCCTGCTCCGCGGGAAGCCTGCTTCTCCCTCTGCCTCTCTCTCTCTTTTTCTCATGTCTCTCATGAATAAATAAAATCTTAAAAAAATCCCCCCAAAACCAAAATAAACTATTTTTTAAGATTTTATTTATTTGATAGAGACAGAGCAAGAGAGGGAACACAAGCAGAGGGAGTGGGAGAGGGAGAAGCAGACTCCCCGCTGGCAGGGAGCCTGATGTGGGGCTCGATCCCAGGACCCCGGGATCATGACCTAAGCCGAAGGCAGATGCTTAATGACTGAGCCACCCAAGGGCCCCTAAAATAAACTTTTTTTTTTTTTATTTGAGAGAGAGAATGAGACAGAGAGAGCATGAGCGGGGGAGGGTCTGAGGGAGAAGCAGACTCCCTGCTGAGCAGGGAGCCCGATGCGGGACTCGATCCCGGGACTCCAGGATCATGACCTGAGCCGAAGGCAGTCGCTTAACCAACTGAGCCACCCAGGCGCCCCCTAAAATAAACTTTTTTTACAGAGAACAAACTGATGGTTACCAGAGGGGAAGTGGGTGGGGGGATTAATGGTACACTTATCATGGTGAGCACTGAGTAATGTATAGAATTGTTGAATCATTACATTATTGTACACCTAAAATCAATATAACACTGTATGTTAACTATACTTGAATAAATACACACACACACCTGAAATAAGCCTATTTTTATGGTGTTTACATAGGTTCGATGTGCCATTTATAAGTGAGACCTACTCTGCAGCATTGCATAATTCTTCCTGGAAGACCTAAGAACTCTCTTATGTCCAAGAAGGATTGTTTATGTTCATTCTGGGCAACGACACAATTTATTCATAATCCCCAGACAGCATAACTATTTTTCCCACAGCTGGAATGAGAGCTCCTACTGAATTACCAACTTGAGGCTTCTCAATCTATGCATTTAGCTCTCTGTGATCTTGTCACTCAGGACCAGTGGCAAAGACCCTAACACAGCTTTTACCATCATCCGTTTTTCTCAGGTTGGAAATGCTTGTCTTCTAATCTCATCTGTTCTAAGTTCCTGGGAATTCTTCTTTCAATTAACTCTTGACACTGTGCCTACAAGCTTGTTTTCTTTGTTGGCGACAGACCCCGGGCGGTCAAACAGAGCAGCCGAGACGAGGCTCTGGAGTCAGACAGACCTGGGTCTGAGGTCTGCCGTTAATACTTATTGGCTGTGAGGGGTTGGGCAAGATATTTAACCCCTTGGAGGCTCAGTTTCCCCATCCATAAAATGGGAATAGTAAGAGTAACAGCCTTGTTGTATGACAGAGGCACCAGTTGTGAAGCATGATGCAGGCATGTTATGAGAACTCAGTAAACACTAGCCATCACTACAGCTCCTCTGGCTGACGCATTGCTTCACACTCTTATAGGTTACTGTCAAAAGGCTCAACTCCAAGTGGGGACAGAGACAGCTGCCACCATCTGGCTTGGATTAGGCAAACACCCTTCTCCTTGCCCCCTCAATGATGCAACTACCAGAGTCAACACTTGGCACTGTTTTGTCTCGCTTGGAGGAAAAGCAGAGTGAGCCGAGGATGGTGGAGGCAGAAGATTCTCAGGAAGACGCTGTTTCCCTTCACCCTAGTCCTTGGTCTATAATCAGTGCTGGGCTTTGGCTCCTGTGGGGGCAAGACAGCTACTGCAACAGGTAGTTCAGGATGTGAAGCTTCTAGGAGTGGGTCAGTGGGTCCTGTCACCCCCATGAGAGGGCTGGCATCACTCCCTCCTCAGTCCGGCTTTATATCCATGGCATTATTCACACGGGGTGACAATAAAGTAATGGGCTGCTTTTTTGTGGGTGGTCTATGGAAATACTGCCATACTTAATATTTTCATAATAGAGTCTCCAAATCCCCAACAATACTTTGTGATAGTGGACACTGAAGTTCATGGCTGATTGCTTTAAAAAACAAAAACAAACCCAAAAAACAAATACCACCCCCCCAAGTCTTGGTAGTAGCTTCTGTTTGATAGTCTATGAAATCCGACACTTAAGCTGTTTCCTCTGATTTTAAGTCAATTATAAAATGTTGGGCAAAATGTTGCCTGTCCATAGAGACTTCCTCTCAAAAACCAGAACTATTGGGTGCCTGGGTGGCTCAGATAGTTAAGCGTCTGCCTTCAGCTCGGGTCATGGTCCCGGGGTCCTGGGATCGAGTCCCGCATCGGGCTCCCTGCTCCTTGGGAGCCTGCTTCTCCCTCTGCTTCTCTCTCTCTCTCTC